TTTTTTTGAGCAATCATATCTGCAGCTATGATTTTGTTTGATAAATGCAAAGTTGGCCGAAAAAAAGATTAGTTATTTTAAACTAAAAGAGTAAAATAACTTTGGTTGAATTGAAAAAAGTGTACATTTAATGAGTGTATGAGTAGAGTAAAAAGTATGGAATATTCTGATGAATTTTGGGGATCACTGTCCAGTTAGGTTATTATCCATGTTCTGATATAGTCTCCCACGGTCCTTGTTCTGCAGGGATATAGCAAGCTAGATAATTACTGGAAACCAGGAACTAGGAGTAGATATATAGAGTAGAGTAGAGATAACAAGATTTGCTCTTCAGAAGTTTGTCTTTTGAGTTTATTTATGGAGTTTTTTTCACGAGTTTGTTTTTTATGAGTTTGTCATTTAGGAGATCGATGTCTTTCAGGAGTTTACCATTTATGAGTTTGTCATTTATGAGTTAGTCATTTATGAGTTAGTCATTTATGAGTTAGTCATTTATGAGTTTTTCATTTATGATTTAGTCTTTCAGGAGTTTGTCTTTAAGGATTTTCTCTTTTATTAGTTTGTCATTTAGTAGTTTGCCATTTAGTAGTTTGTCATTTAAAAGTTTTTCTTTTAAAAGGTTGTCTTACACAAGTTTGTATTTCAAAAGTTTGGTACCTCTCCCGAAATGAAGTTTGTTTGTCACTTGTATATACTCCTAGTCCTACGGTTTACAGAAAATTGGAATAGTTTTTCTTCACCAAGTAAAGAAGGAGCAGCTTTGTTATGTTGTATACCTTTTCACTTTTATACTTTTTGGGGAGAATAATATATGAATAGGGAAACTTTCATAATAATGACAATTCTTTTTTTGATATTGACAATATTATTTAATTGCATAAAGGCATCAAGCGAAAAAGATTACCTGAAGATAACCAGAAAGAAAAAGATTACCTGATGATAACCTGAAAGAAAAAGATTACCTGAAGATAACCCGAAAGAAAAACATTACCTGATGATAACCCGAAAGAAAAAGATTACCTGAAGATAACCCGAAAGAAAAAGATTACCTGAAGATAACCCGAAAGAAAAAGATTACCTGAAGATAACCCGAAAGAAAAAGATTACCTGAAGATAACNGGGGGGGGGGAGATGAAAATACAGTGAAAACAATAAAATTTTTATATGATTTTTTTAAAACTAAATTCTTAAATTCCAAGAATATATCTATACAGTGTCTACCCTCACAAAATTTTATAAGGAATTGAGTTTTTGCCTCAAACTCCAATTTTTGAATCCCCATATCTTAGTAATCTGATGGTTTCAACCTTTGATAACTTGACAACTTGAACTGACAGAATCTGGCAAAGACTTAATTATTTTGTGCTTCTGAACTACCTAAGCAAAACATATGTTAATCTTTACTTGTCAAAGAGATTGAATTTAATTTTGATAGAATATATCGAATTAAAATGGATGTTTTATATGATATAACCGAGGATGGTGTGTACGTACTCATTGAGATGGGATTCAGTCTGATTACGATTGTTATGAATGTCGTCGTACTTGCAACAATAAAAAACACGAACAGGTAAACTTAAAAAAGAGTATCTTCTAGTGGCTTATATAATGATTTGGCAAAGAAAGCAAAAAGTTAACAGCTGCAGGTTATCTTTAATATAAGGAATTAAACAGACAGTGTAAATTCCGAACAATCGTTTCTGTAGTTTCATACTTTGTGGCTAACACTGTAAAGTTAAAAAATTGTTTATATTTTATTCCTTCACATTGTAGCACAGTAAACCAGAAAACTGTGGAATAGGAAGACGACATTAAAACACTACTCATGTGTATTTAATAATGTTACAAATATAATAGTCCTAACAGTAACTTATCAAATATTGCTTATTATTATTAAGTTATTAAGTAAAAATTGATGTTGCTCATGTTGTTTGGATTATCTTAAGTCTGAAAGTCATCTTGAATAGGTGATCACTATAGTAAATAATGAGTTTTAAAAATGTAAAGCACAAGTTGAAAATAATTTTTTTTTTTAATTGTCAACAAATTCAACATAAAACTATTAAATAATCTTCTACTTTCTCAAATAAGTTTGACGTTGTCGGTTCAGACTAACCTGGGTAAAAAATTAATTGATAAAAACTTGAGATATTTCAAATTTAAATCAATATGTCATTAAATTTGCAGTTTTGACATTAGTAGGTTATCAATCTTTGAAAGTACACTTTTTAGACATATGCAGGGTTTGGGTCACCTTCAAAGGATGAAAATTACGGAAATTATTTAATACAAGCTGAAGAGCCCGGCGTTGCCCGAGGAAAAAATTTTTTTTGAAAAAAGTTGAGAAAAATTTTGCCTATCGGTCCAGCCATTTGGCCGGCTATTCTCAACATATATATATATATATATGAATGTCTTGTTTTATTCTATAGATTTAATTTTACAATTAAGGTTTCCTACAGCTATAAACTTGTATTAACAATTTTCAGCTATTTCTTTACTCCAGGCCCACATATTTCTGTAATTTATTAATTAAGATTATTTATTACCATATGATTAGAATTGGTTGCGGAAATAAATGATATATGATTTCATTTCATTTAATTTTTACCAAAAAATTCAAACAAAATTACAATCTTCATCTAAGGATGTTATTTATAAATAATAATAATAATTATAATAATAGCAATAACAATAATAATAATAACAATAATAATAATAATAATAATAACAATAATAATAATAAGAATAATAATAATAATAACAATAATAATAATAACAACCAGTTGATTGAATTGGATACAGTGGTTTTATTTTAACAATTGAGGAACGATTTTTACATTATTTTAGCTTTAACTGGATCATTTTTAATTTTTCTATATTTTTGATGTTTAAAAATAAAAAGGAAAAATGAGGTTTTGTAGCTCTTGTTAAAAACATCATAATTGCTTTCGCACGACAAACAAACCCCTTTTTATTGCCACTAAGTAAAAAAAAACGGTTAACGGATAGCAAATGCAACTTTTATTTTTAACATAATCTTTTTTATAAATTCTATTAAAGGTTACTCTTGGATCCATGTAATGCCTATTTTGCTAACCTATGCGCTGCAAACATTGCAATAGGTAATAATATATAGATGGATAGATAGATAGATAAATAGATAGATAGATAGATAGATAGATAGATAGATATATAGATAGATAGATAGATAGATAGATAGACAGATAGACAGGCAGACAGACAGACAGACGACCAGACAGACAAAAGACATACATACATACACCAAGACAGACAGACAGATAGAAAGACAGACAGACAGTTACCTTTTCTGTTTTTCCCCGCCGTATGCCTGAAATTTTTGAATCCAAATAAATCTGCAAAAATAAAGAGAACAGACTTATGTTTTATAGGCTTAACATCTTCCAGAGGGATTTTATGTGTTTAGCATATATCAAGAAAATATCATGTTTTCATTTATTTACATTAAACCAAGTTTAAAAGAAAATTTGTTTTAAAATATAGAAACATGATTTAGAATAAAACCAATTCAACCCAAAAAATAAAATCAAAAAATAATGTTTTTATCAATGTAGTACCGTTTTAAATTTATTCTTTCTCAATTTGAGTTATTTTGATATCCTTAACAGTTTGATAATATCTTATGTTTACGCAGAAAGGTCCAAAGAAATATAATAATCATTATTTTTTACTTTTAGATGTTAAAAAAAGTGTCAGAGGATAGTATTTTTAGATGATTAAACTTAATCCGTGCAAAACTTCTCTGATATCTTAAAGGATTTAACTTAGTCCGTTTGACCTTTAAGTATCAACAAACAGTCCCTTTAAATATTTAATTTCAGGTACACTGACTAAGATGACCCTGAGTGTGGTGATCTGTAGCTATGCTGTTGCTAAGGAACTTTTCACATTAAAATAATATCAAAATTTCAAAATTTTATTTTGTATTTTGTGGTATTTTAGGTTAGTACACTATTGTAATGTATTCTGTGGTATTATAGGTTAGTAGACTATTGTAATGTATTTTGTGGTATTTTAGATGAAAAATATAAGGGTGGTTTTCATATCGCCTTCAAATTTAATTTTTCAATCTAAAATATCTCGCCCTCCCCCCCGAAAAATTATGAAAATCAAGTCTATTATAGATTTTTTTTTTGATTTTGATCATGCATGCACTTTCACAAACAAATCTAAACACGCTTATGAAAATGACTTAAAAAGTTTAATAATTACCGACACAAAATGACAAAAAAAACACATTACATCCATACGAAAGTCAATAATGACATCATATTTAGCCAAAAAATGTCCACTTATATTTATCTAAATATCAAATTTTGAAAAATTTCCAATTTTTTCAATTCAAATCGAACTTTTAAGTTTTAACATCAAATAACCTTGAATATTTTCTCTGATAATTAAACCTTGACGTGTTCAGATTCAAAGGGGAGAAGGGTTTTGAAATATATATTGCTGTTGCAAGCATGTAAAAGATAGATTTAATTATATTTTGTTGTATTTCTTCAAAAAAAAAGAAAATGTGATTGAATAATTCTCTAGAATGATCCTGAAGTAGAATTCAGGGAAACTAAATTAAATCATAAAAAAAGATGAATTTATGAATAATTTTTTTTTTCAAAGACATTTTCAATAAAATTGATTAACAAAGAAATCAATGAAGAGTAAAGAATTCTATACAAACTTTATTCAAAGGTTTCTTATAAAAATGATTATAATTTAGATCTAAAATTTTTTCATAAAAAGATTGTTTAAAAGATTAAAAGACTAAAAGATCTGAAAGAACTGAAATAAATGAAAAACAAAACTGTTCTTTGAATTTTCATTAATAGACATTTTTAGAGAGAAATTAGAGATTAAGACAACCTTTTGAATTGAGTAGTTTTCTAAAATATCAGATTAAAAAATATTTTTATGATTAATTTGTTCTAGATGAATTAGATTCTGTAATCTGTAGATGTATTTTTGAAGCGTTCTGTCATATTTATTTCTTCATTAAATTGAGTGGTTTTCTAAAGATTAAAAAAAAACCTTTACGTTTAATTTTTTTTCAACTAAACTATAGTTTCTGTAACCTGTGGATATTCTCGAAACGTTGTTTCATGTTTATTTTTCCATTAACTAATATAGCAATCCTTTTCTCTTCATTCAGGTATACTATAGAACTGATAATAAAGTGCTTATCAGCCCATCCCTCCCCCCCTCCCCCTTCCTTCCCCTTCCTCCCCCTCCCTACCCCTCAATCTCCCAGTCCGCTTTTTCTTCCTCCCTACTATTATATACAGGGTTACACACAAAAGATGAGACTTCAGAGACGACTGTAAAGAATTTATAATATCAGCTGATCTTGTTTATTCAAGATGCGCTGCTAACTCTAAACTTGTTTCTATCTTTTCTAAATCATTTATAAAGATATGAAAAGACGTTATTCAAGACAGAAGACTATAATTTTAACATTGGAACTGTCATTTTTCAAGAGTTTTAAGTCTTCTCAGACTCATCCTTCGTGGGTAACCCTGAATATATAAGGAAATGGAAAAATTTACGTCAAATCACTTGTTAAACTTTGTGATCTCTGCCCAGGGATAAGAAAATTAAGTTTATTTAAAAGTTCAAAAGAGAGATAAGTATTTATTGAAAACATGTTAATGTTTTTCATCTGACATGAAATTTATATAGATTTGACGTGAGAGCTTCTTCCACTTTTCTTCATAAAATATTTTTATGAAATAATTTTTCAGTCAAAGGCTGGCAGATTATAGACGGAGGAAGGTAATCGTTGAAGAGGAGATTTCTGCAGCATCTGGATTAGTAGGTAGGTTTAGGAGGGATAGGTAGGTTTAGGAGGGATAGGTAGGCTTTGGAGGGATAGGTTGGTTTAGGAGGATAGGTAGGTTTAGGAGGGATATGTAGGTTTAGGAGGGATAGGTAGGCTTAGGAGGGATAGGTAGGTTTAGGAGGATAGGTAGGTTTAGGAGGATAGGTAGGTTTAGGAAGGATAGGTAGGTTTAGGAGGGATAGGTAGGTTTAGGAGGGATAGGTAGGTTTAGGAGGGATAGGTAGGTTTAGGAGGATAGGTAGGTTTAGGAGGATAGGCAGGTTTAGGAAGGATAGGTAGGTTTAGGAGAGATAGGTAGGTTTAGGAAGGATTGGCAGGTTTAGGAAGGATAGGTAGGTTTAGGAGGATAGGTAGGTTAGGAGGATAGGTAGGTTTAGGAGGATATGTAGGTTTAGGAGGGATAGGTAGGTTTAGGAGGAATTGGTAGGTTTAGGAAGGATTGGCAGGTTTAGGAAGGATAGGTAGGTTTAGGAGGATAGGTAGGTTTAGGAAGGATAGGTAGGTTTAGGAAGGATAGGTAGGTTTAGGAGGGATAGGCAGGTGTAGGAGGAATATTTAGGTTTAGGAGGAATAGGTAGGTTTAGAAGGGATAGGTAGGTTTAGGAGGGATATGTTGGTTTAGAAGGGATAGGTATGTTTAGGAGGGATTTGTAGGTTTAGAAGGGATAGGCAGGTTTTGGAGGGATATGTAGGTTTAGGAAGGATATGGAGGTTTATGAAGGATATGTATGTTTAGGAGAGATAGGTAGGTTTAGGAAGGATAGGTAGGTTTAGGAAGGATAGGTAGGTTTAGGAGGATAGGCAGGTTTAGGAAGGATAGGTAGGTTTAGGAAGGATAGGCAGGTTTAGGAAGGATATGTAGGTTTAGGAGAAATATTTAGGTTTAGGAAGGATATGTAGGTTTAGGAGTAATAGGTAGGTTATGGGAGATAGGTAGGTTTAGGAGGGATATGTAGGTTTAGGAAGGATATGTAGGTTAGGACTAGGAGTGATAGGCAGGTTTAGGACGGATATGTAGGTTTAGGAAGGATAGGGAGGTTTAGGAGGGGTATGTTTAGGAGAGATAGGTAGGTTTAGGAAGGATATGCAGGTTAGGAGTGATAGGTAGGTTTAGGAGGGATATGAAGGTTTAGGAAGGATATGAAGGCTAGGAGTGATAGTTAGGTTTAGGAAGGATAGGGAGGTTTAGGAAGGATATTTATGTTTAGGAGAGATAGGTAGGTTCAGGAAGGATAGGTAGGTTTAGGAGGATAGGTAGGTTTAGGAAGGATAGGTAGGTTTAGGAGGATAGGTAGGTTTAGAAGGGATAGGTAGGTTTAGGAGGATAGGTAGGTTTAGGAAGGATAGGTAGGTTTAGAAGGGATAGGTAGGTTTAGGAGGATAGGTAGGTTTAGGAGAGATAGGTAGGTTAGGAGGATAGGTAGGTTTAGGAGGATATATAGGTTTAGGAGGATAGGTAGGTTTAGGAGGATAGGTAGGTTTAGGAAGGGTAGGTAGGTTTAGGAAGGATATGTAGGTTTAGGAGAGATAGGTAGGTTTAGGAAGGATAGTTAGGTTTAGAAGGATAGGTAGGTTTAGGAGGATAGGTAGGTTTAGGAGGGATATGTAGGTTTAGGAGGGATATGTAGGTTTAAGAAGGATAGGTAAGTTAGGAGGGATAGGCAGGTATGGTATAGGATGATAGGTAGATTAGAATAGATATGTAGGTTTAGGAGGGATAGGCAGGTATGGTATAGGATGATAGGTATATTAGAATGGTTATGTAGGTTTAGGAGGGATAGGCAGGCATGGTATAGGATGATAGGTAGATTAGAATGGATATGTAGGTTTAGGAGGGATAGGCAGGTATGGTATAGGATGATAGGTAGATTAGAATGGATATGTAGGTTCAGGAGGGATAGGCAGGTATGGTATAGGATGATAGGCAGATTAGAATGGATAGGTAGGTTAGGAGGGATAGGCAGGTATGGTATAGGATGATAGGTAGATTAGAATGGATATGTAGGTTTAAGAGGGATAGGCAGGTATGGTATAGGATGATAGGTAGATTAGAATGGATAGGTAGGTCAGGAGAGATAGGCAGGTATGGTATAGGATGATAGACAGATTAGAAGGGATATGTAGGTTTAGGAGGGATATGTAGGTTTAGGAGGGATAAGTAGGTTTAGGATGTATCCTAAATACTACGGATTAAGTCTGTTATCCTTGTCATGTAGTCACATGTTTAAAGGGTACCATTGTAAATCGCACACGCAACCTTATATATCTATGGTGAAATTACGTCCCTTCAATAATCAATATTAAATATTATAGAATTGGATCCTGATGATGAGGCAGTTCTAACTAAAAGGAATCAACTGAGTTGTATTTTAAAAATCTTCAAACATTGAAACAACTGAGTTGCTTGTTTTGACACTAAACTGTTAAAAGAAATTGTTTGGTTTTGATAATGTCTACCTTCAAATAAAATAAGCTTGGACCAAATTTAATTAATTGGAGAGGTTGTTGAACTGCCTTCCCCTGAATCAACGATTTAAAGCTTTAGGAATCTTTAACTTTGAATTGGTTATTAAGAATGTAATATTTAGAGCATGATTACTGAAACTAAAAGCCCTTTCTCAGATTCATAGCAGAGTAGAGAACCTAGAGAATAGAGTTAGTGCACCTGGGATCCTTAAATAGTACAGACGTCGAGCTGAGTCTCTGTTTGTACAACCAAGGCATGGAGACATGCACCATTATACTGCAATTAGATAAGTTGATCTTCATCATGCCGGTCAGAGAACAAAGGAGAACACCAGCCTTCTTCCCTTTCATTATGCATGAGTATGCGTCATCAGATTCATCAGCATCACCAAGAGATTTGTCTGGTACTGCTCCGATAGTAACCATAACAGCTAATCTAACTACAGATCTGGATACATCAGAGGCTGCTCTATACTCTCCAGAGGATTCTATGCAAGGACCCGATCTTGCTTGTGATCCAGAGCAGCTAGAATTCCTGTATACAGACCAATGACTGCAGATGAAGAAGTGGTTATGAGGATCTATAAGGATAGGATCTAGTGTCCTCCAGATATGACTGAGAAACCAGGAGGTTTACAGATAAAAAGGTTTGGTGTCAGACCATGGAGACACTGCTCTTTACAGACAGCTCTTCACAAATATGTTGTAGAAACAGCTGAGGAACAAGATGATCTTGAGGCAGAACTGTTGCAGTTGTGGAAGCAGCAGAAATAGAAGCGGATCTTGCTACAGGAGATGCTGCTCCTCAAGAACCTGTGGAAGAGGCAGCAACTGAACAAGATGTTTGAGTTCGAGGAAGCTGCTCAGATAGATCCTGATCAGGAGCAGATGAACAAGGTATTCAAGTTCAGAGATCCCAAACCAAAGCAGCTGAACGAGATATCTGAGGTTGAGGGAGCTTCTCAGATAGTCCCTGAGCAATAGCAGTTAAATAATGGTTTTACATAAAGGGAACCTTTGAGAGTTGCTTATCGGAGTTTCCTAAATACTAGACGGAGAATTGCTGTATTGAAGGATCAGCTGGATCTCCTTCTCCCTTGTGATGTCTTCAAACCACATACTGGTCCGGTACAAACACAAGCTGAGCTGGATATGCTCAATGCTAATTACCGTCAGAGCTGGGCAGATAAGCCATAAACTTTCTCTACATGAAGAGTGGTTTTCCCGAACACCATAGAGAGCTGATTAAAATAAGAGTAACCTTTTACGGATGTATTTAATCATTAAAACTATGAAGCCATGATAAATCCCATTAATTCATAATCATGAGAGATATCTAGAGAAAGTGATTTAAGAGGGATTTATAAGCACAAGAATACGGGGATTCAAGGGGAAATATTTGCACACGCCCTAACCATGGGAGCGACTGATTGATCCTGAAATCCCGGAGATTTACATCTGGATTGTAATCGATTTAACTTAGTAATCACAAGAATTTGAACCAGAGTGCCAGGTTTAGCAACCTCTGTCCAATTCATTGAATTCCATTCCTTTCAATTAAACGTTTTCAAATACAGCAGCCGGCGTTTATATCAATACATTTAAAAAGACTTTTTTATTTAATTTTGGATTTCTAACAAGCGTTTTACAATTTACAAGTTTACAACCAACCAAACAAACCCAATTTATTTAAAATTCGGTGATGGTGATGGACCAAACCTCTGTAGAGTAAAAAAAGTAGATGTTAGTTCCACATTTATTGAAAATATATTTTGGTCTGGGTTGACCCTCGTCAGTTCTTGAGATTGTTTCTGTCACAAAGATTGCAGCTTTTATCTTTGGTTCCATGCTTATGTCGTCTTCATTGTATTGATATATATGAGAGCGACTGTATCCTGCAACCCATCTGGTGATGAAGGTTCATTCTACAATACGGATTGATGAATTCTTTGAAACCCTGCACTGCTATTCTAGAGGGGTACGTACAAACATAAATATGAAAATCAAAATGATGAAATTATAAAGAATTATGTCGCTATTTTAATAAAGTGTGGTTGAGAGTATATATATATTGAGAATCGAATCCATATAATAAGATTTTTTTTCTTAAAAAATAATAATAATCATAGTCTTTTCTAAATTGAGTTTTTAAAATAAAATATCACAATGTTAGAAGAAAACCTTCGCAAGGTAGAGAACTTGCCGAAATCATTCGGAAATTAATAACATTTAGTTATAATTATGAGCACATGTAATACTTTGAGATATATTTCTAACACTCTTTGAGAAATATTGAACTATAACTTTTTGTAATTTTGAAATGTTTTCATTAGTTTAACTTAGTGCTATGATTCTTCTAACTGTGATGTGTAAGTGTGCAAATTCACTTTTACTTTCAATTTGATTGTATTTATTTAGTGGTAATAATGATAGCAGTGAATCACAGAAAATGGTAAGATTTTTCAGAATTAAGAAGCTACTTGTCGTAATTAACATTTCAACCTTTGTGGGAACATTGTATATATGATATGGCAACCAAAAAATATAATTGTATACAGAATGAACCAAAACTAAAATATTCCAATTTAAAAAGAAAAGAAAATTAATTATGAAAGTTTTCCACAAAACGGATTTTTTTTGTTATTAGTCAAACAAACTTCATGTATCTGGGCTGAGCATCGTTCTATCACAGGAACACGCCCATCCCTACCTGTATCTAGGGATGTGCATCGTTCTATCACAGGAACACGCCCATCCCTACCAGTATCTAGGTGTGTGCATCGTTATCAAGTCCGTTTTAAAACACTTTTGTACTCTAAAGGTGGCTTATCAGAAACTGGGCAGTTTATCACAATAGAGAAAAAAATCTCTGATTTAAGGTATCAACTAAACAATTTGGTTGATATTTTTCATCAGAGAATAATGTAATAAAGTGAATTTATCGAACATAAGATAGTATTTACATCTCAGATTTGTTTTGGATCTAAATAATCAAAAACCTTGAATGTTTAAAATCCGAACAAAAAAAGAATGCCCCGTAAACCTGTATCCAGGAAAACCAAAATACTGAAGAAAGACGACACACTGGAGATTGTATTGAATTGAAGGAACTCTCAACATCTTCTAAAAGGTATTTAAAAAACAAAAGTTGATTTAAAGTGATGAAGAATTTGTTCCAATTTTTTTAAACATATAAGCACAAATCACAGTGAAGAAAAGTCGATCTGTGAATTGGAGGTGAAGTTTTCTTTTAAATTAGATAATTAGTTCAACTATCCGTACCTAACTTAACTATTAGGTAATTAGATAATTAGTTCAACTATCCGTACCTAACTTAACTATTAGGTAATTAGGTAATTAGTTCAACTATCCGTACCTAACTTAACTATTAGATAATTAGGTAATTAGTTCAACTATCCGTACCTAACTCAACTATTTCTGATAATATCATGATATTCTACTTATATTCTCGTAATAAATATAATGTATGTTTAGACAACTGTACTCGATGAAGAAACAGGTATCTTTTGATGCAAACCCAGAGGAACATATTTTTATTGATAATGAGGTATACAACAATATTATTTTTATATTTATTTTATCTAAAAGATATAAAACTATTTCTACAGTGGTGTATTATTTTAAGAATCACCCCCTCCCTGAGGCTGGGGGGTGGGGTGATTTTTGAAGATCGGGAGGAAAAAATTAAAAATTTGACATCAAAAGTCTAGATTTTTATCCTTTTTGAAACTTTTTGTTCCCGAAATTTTATCTATTTTCCCTTCAAATCATCTATTTTCCCCTTCAAATGATCTATTTTCCCTTAAAATCATCTACTAATATTCTAATACTCTTTCAGTCAAGATTAGGTACCTCGGACCCACAAACGTCGGACAGTACAAACGTTGGACCAGGACAAACGTCGGACATTACAAACGTTAGACCATTACAAACGTTAGACCATTACAAACGTCAGACCAGTGCAAACGTCGGACTAAGAAAAACAAGTATTTGAATTTTAAGATACTAGCCTTAGAGGGCGCTTCGCGCCCATCTTCTAAATTAATTGTGAACATGTTCTCTTTGTGTACATCGTAAAACAAAACAAAAATAATTCGCGGATTTTCACAAAAAATTTCGTGGATTTTCAAAATTTTCAAAAATTTAATGAAGATCGAATTTTGATGAAGACAAATATTTGAAATTTCAATCATTCATAAACCTTCCCTGAGGTCCCTAGATGTCCCACAAAAAATTTGGGCCCGATCGGTTCAGCCGTTTTGACGTTTATTGGATACAAACAGACAGACAAACAGACAGACAAGCCAGATTTATATATAGATTTAAAAAAGTTATTTTCTTATATCGACTGCAGTCTAATAAAAATCTACCTAAAGAAACTGAGTTCTTTCCACTAACTCAAATATTCTCATCCCTATATATTTACAACCTGGTAATGGAATTAACCTTTGATACTTTCAAACTTAAATTTTATAGATTTCATAGGTTGAAATATTAAAGATTATACGACATCGGGTAGCAAAGGTAAAGGAATTGAAACATCAGAGTTTGTGACAATTGAACTCAACTCCTTTTTGGTCTGTTGTTGTATAAACTATACAGTGCTACCTTCAAAGGATGAGACTTTATTCAGTTGTCTTTAATTTTCATCACAATAAGTGAGTGATTTTTAATTCATTTCTTTTAGAAATGGTATTTTTTTAAACTCAACCAAATTCCTACTTTTTTTTATAAATGTACCTGTCCGACGTTTGTACTGGTCCGAAGTTTGTACTTGTCCGACGTTGGTACCAGTCCGACGTTTGTACCAGTCCGACGTTTGTAAGACCGACGTTTGTACCAGTCCGAAGTTTGTAAGACCGACGTGTGTACTGTCCGAAGTTCGTGGGTCCGACGTGTGTACTGGTAGCAAAGGTTATGGTTAATAAATTAAGAAATTAAGTGTCCAGTGTTTTGTAAATTTTATTCTAGATTGTGAATACAAAGAACGGTAGCGAAGTGAAGAAGGAGAAGTTGGAAACCCTTCTAACAATTAATCCGAAGAGTTCCTCGGAAGTAACAGTATCAATACACTCTGAGGAACCTACAGCTCCAGAAAAATCAACAACTACAAAGGTGACAAAAAAATGTAAAGGAACTGTAAGCGTAATTTCAAATGACCCTCCATGAAAAATGACAATGCCCGATTTATAGCGGAACCAGCTTGAAACCTTAATCTGATCAAAAATGTTAAAGATATCGTCGTTTTCCTGACTAGAAAAATGTTTTTATTCTGATAATTTCTCCATTGCTTCTTATAAGCAAGAAATGCGGGAGTCGATTTTTGAGATACCACAAATGAAATTAACAGTTTCAAGAAATTAAAACATGGATATCAAAATAATACTTGTTAACCCAATAAAGGAGCTGAGGGGTCTAAATCTATNTAGGGTTGAAATGCATGTTCAAAGTCCAATTTTTCAAGGCCAGCTCATTGAAAAAAAATTAGACCGATAGTTTGGGTGGTTTGGAGGTTAAACAAAATGCGAACAAATATTAAAATGTGACACGTGTTTCTACATCCAGTTTTTAAGGGCTTTTAACAAATAAAGTGGATTTGTTGCTTTAATCACAACAGGTTTTACATGCCTTGCAAGCGGTACTCATCTTGTTTACAAATACAAATGGAGTACCGTATGCAAAGCATGTATAATCATATGGTAGGGCCGGTTGCGTAAGTAGTATCTCCTTTCTTTTTCATACTCCTTGGCTATTTTCGATTTTTTTTTTACAGAGTTCTGACTTTTTATCGCCCTGTACTCTACACTATGCATTTAAAAAAAAATTTAACAAGAAATCCTTGAAAATTCTATTCAGTAAAAGTTACAAAATTTCATTGTGATAGTGTCAAAAATGAGAGTGATAGGACAAAAAGACGACAGCCTCTTTAAGGTTAAACAATCCTTTTGAAAATACTATTTCAATCTTCATAAACCCTGATATCTAATTTAATTCTTGATCAGACCAAGATTTGAAAGTTACCTTAAGTAAATCGGATATTGTTATCTTTGCATGGTGGGCAAAGTGGTTATACTAATTGTCCCAAAAAGCATGGGAATTCAGTGACAAATTCGATATCGTCATTTTTATGAATTAGCATTGTAATACCTAATTTCAGAAGCCATAATATTATTATGTCTGCCAGAGTCTATTTTATGAGAAGGGTAAAAGACTGTAAAGATGTGTCTATAGTCTCCGCAAGATCAAGGATATAATGCAAGGAAAGTTATTTCAGAAGTGTACACATCTTTTGTACTGCAGTGTACTGTCTCTGGGCGCTAATGTAAACACAAGACGGATGTCGAAGCCTGACATGGGATCCATCTTTAACACAAAAAAATCAATGAAATATTCTGGTCATAAGAAACTATTATTTGAACTATCAAAATTATCAAAATTTAATTCTTTTAACCTACTCGGATATTAAACGAACACAGATGCATCTATTCTTGTTTACAAATTCCGCCCAGAGAGAACTGGTTTCAATATTTACGCAGAGAATACACAACTGCAATTAACTTTCCTTGCATTATAACCTTGAGAGAGACTATCATCCCCCCTGATGGTGGGTCACTTAATTATGTTATATACAGCCCCTTAATGTATTTTTTTTTCTCATGGGAAAGTTCTTCAGTTCTTTAATTTATCATTATCAACTTTTTATTAGAGAATAGGTTTACAGAGTACAGACAATTTTGTAGTTACCAAAATATTTGTTAAGAAATAATTTTTCATGCGGTTTCTTCACATTCTCTTTTTGTTTGCTGATACAGACGGTACACGTGACAATGATACTGCACTGCCATTTGTTGGAGTTCTGGTTCCGTATTACGGACGTTTCAATTATATTATCAATCATATCGATTTAAAATTAAAATTTATTAAATTCAAATAATAATAGAAGCAAATCTGAGTTTTTCAGGCTCCTCTGAGATATCGTCATTTTCAGATTGGTTGCGTATTTGCTGAATATCATCTGTTTAAAACTTAGAATCTTGAATCTTATACCAAATCTTATAATTTTTATTTTTATTCCTACTGATGATTGGGTTAGACCCATGAAACATTTTGTCTTGGAAGAAATATATATTTAAACATCTAAAATGTATATTTAAACTGAAAAAGTTGAAAATACTACTATCAGTTTCTCGAGACAGGAACATCAGATAGAACTCCTGTAGGTCTTTCATCACCTAATAAAGAAAGCTCTGAAGTTTACGGTTCTGTTGTCAGACAAAATATTAACTTCTAAAATTTGCAATGGAATTGTGTCACATTTGACACCAATGACGTCATGCATAATTTCTTATTACAATCTATTGTACTATCTATATGTATATAATATATACTTTGCTTGTCTGTTTGTCTGTTTGTTTGAATTTAATAAACGTCCAAAAGGCTGAACCGATCGGGCCCAAATTTTGTGTGGGACCTCATATGACCTCAGGAAAGGTTTATGAATGATCAAAATTTCAAAAATTTGCCTCAAAACAAAATTCGATTTTCATTAAATGTTGAAAATCCACAAAATGTTTTTTTAATTGAAATAGAAGACCCTTGTGATTATATTTTTGCCTAATACTATTAGGCAAATGAATTTTTCCCTTTAATATTAGCTAAATGAAAATCTAGATGAGTGTATCTGAACCAGATGAGGATCTCAAGATTGAACCTGGAGATATTAGGAAAATTAGGTAATTCTTAACAGTGAGAACCAGAAAACTGAAAGCTGTCGTCTTTGTTTGTAAATAAGTCCAATCCTAGAGAGCCGGTTTTTCAAATTCTTTCTGATTAAAATTTTTTCTTTAAAAATTTATAAAATACAAACATCCAGAAAACCAGAACCAGATAACTCTGGAAAAGGAAGTCGACTTTTAGACTCAATTTATGACTTTTAATAGTCAAACATGAGGCACAGCAATTGTGCATTGTAAACAGACCCATTTCAATTAATATGTGATTTTATAACTTACTAGTTAAACGACTTGCATTGTAACATCAAATGCAATTCTGTTTTGTCTTAATGTCGTCTTCCTATTCTACAGTTTTCTGGTTATTGCTGTATTAACATACATTGGGTAGCTTTATTTATTTTAAAATCTTTTAGATTGATTATAAAATTTTCAAATTTTCAACTTTCATAAGTTTTCCGATTCACGGTTCTCTTTTTGTCCCTCTGTAGTCTGTAAGAACGATAAATTATTCCTATCTTGAATCTAATTTTCTCGTTTCTTAGAGAATTCCTTGCTTTACGATATAAACCTCACTTTTAGCAACCCGATTTTTCTTTCACTGTTAGCAACCCGATTTTGCTTTTACTTTTAGCAACCTGATTTTTCTTTCACTGTTAGCAACCCGATTTTGCTTTCACTGTTAGCAACCCGATTTTGCTTTTACTTTTAGCAACCCGATTTTTCTTTCACTGTTAGCAACCTGATTTTGCTTTCACTGTTAGCAACCTGATTTTGCTTTCACTTTTAGCAACCCGATTTTTCTTTCACTGTTAGCAACCCGATTTTGCTTTCACTTTTAGCAACCCGATTTTTCTTTCCTTTTAGCAACCCGATTTTTCTTTCACTGTTAGCAACCCGATTTTGCTTTCACTTTTAGCAACCCGATTTTTCTTTCACTCGATTTTTGTTCAAGATCAAAAAAATGCTCTTAAAAATTTATTTAAATTTTTATTCATTTGGTTCTGCCAACTTCAGGTTTCAAACTTAAAAATAATTTTTCTAACCAACAGGGGCCAGATTTAATAAAAATCAACAAATAGTTGAACCGTGTACTTTATGATGCAAAGTTTACCCTAACGCAGTTTAACTACTTTTCGCAATTTATTTATTTTGGTGTCTGCGTTTTTTTAAAGAAAATAGTTTAACTAGTAGCTTAAAAATCACAATCACTGTTTCTAATTTTCATGACTATTTAAAATAAAAAAAATAAGTCTTAAAGTATATTTTTAATCTTCAATTAGTATAATTGTAATCTTTTTTTAGTATAATTGTAATCTTTAACTAGGCTAATTATAATCTTTAATTAGGATAATTGTAATCCTTAATTAGTATAATTGTAATCTTTAATTAGTATAATTGTAAACTTTAATTAGTATAATTTTAATCTTTAATTAGTATAATGTGGGGTCTGAGCTTTATCTATGGAATACTAGATGAACAGATTAGTGGGAAATCACCAAACTGTTTTATATCAGACAGTTTAGAGTCTAGGATGCATCAGGTATTTACCTTTACGTTATTTTCAAGTGGCCATCCATTTCCCAGCAAATAGACACTTAAGTTAAAATGGAGTTTAACTTCACTTTTGCAATCCAGAAGTGGAGTTTTAGTTGAGTTTTTAAGTGAAATTAAACTCTGTAATAATCTTGTCAAAAGTGGGTGTTGTTAACATCACCCACTTTTGCACCGCCACGCTTCTGAAGTCCACTCACAAACTGGGCGAAATCTGGTGGGAAAAAAACTCGTCTTTTACTCGACTTATTGAATCCTGCAGTTTGTAACTTGGTTTTAGCGTGTTGGCTTTAAAGGAAGTGACCGGCAATGTATATGGTTGAACTGAATATGTAGTATTGGGAACCCATTTTTTAGGATTCATTTGAGACATATAAAACGTTTCTACGACATATATTTACTGAGTTTGAGCGTAAAGTCGACGTTCAAAATTATAAACTTTGGTAGGTACGTTTTGAGAATCAGTTTTTTAAAATTATCAAATAACGACGACATTAAATGTAAGCAAAATTCTACAGTAAACTAATTAAATGTTTAGGAACAGGTTGAGAAAATAAAAATTAACTCTTATTATCGAAAAAAGTAATCTTATTCAATTATTAGTTTCTATAATTTCTCTTTAATCACAAAGATTTTCTGGAATTTCTGAAAAGACTTTATTTTTGTCGTCGATATTAAAATTAATCCAAAAATTTTGTCAACAATACTGCATACTCAGTTTAACCACCATACATTGCCGGTCACTCCCTTTAAACCCCAGTTTTGGCACGGTGATTGACGAGTTATGGTGAAAAAAATATTAAGGTTTTTATTGTATAATTTCTCCACAAAAGAAAAATACGGAAATATGCAGGAGAAAACATAAAATGAATAAATTAGATTTGTTTCATTCCAAAAAATACGACGTTTTACTGGAATACTTGTATTAGGAGTACCTTTGTGAATTGTTTATGACAATTATTGTATTAAAGGGTCACTTTATATTACATCAACAGTATTGTATCAATTATTAGATACTCTTCTTTGCTCATGGATTTTTCAAAGGTTCCAGAATATTTTGAGGAGTTCTAAAAATTCCAAACTATTTATTCTAAACATTTAAAAACTGTGCCAGAAATTTGCAAGAATTAACAAAAACCGAACCAATAAAACGACCGTTTTTTAGCTAGTTCTTGCAAATAAATTCTCTCAGGGTTAAAATGTAATATAGTGCAGTAAAAAAAGCGAAAGCTCCAGAACTTCTGAAAAAATTCTTGAACCTTTTAAAAGTCCAAAAACCTTAAAACGAAATAAGCAAAAGGCCGAAAATTACAGTTGCTGATATTAAAATTAGGAAAAACGATTTTTTGACTTTTGTGCTAAATCATGGAAAAGAGAAAAATACTGAAATTTAACTTTAACAGATGGAAAAATAACTCACAAAAATACTTTCTCACATTCATCCTTATCAGTGTGAATACAAAAAGAAAAAAGAAAAACTTTTTTTCATCTTAATTGAAGAACACTTGTAAAAATGGCATGAAAAAATGTGGCAGTTGTATTATTTATCTTTTTTTTTAAATTTTTGTTTGTTTTATTCTAAAATGAGTTTTTAACTTCAGGCGTCTATTGTACTGAGTATCGTGATACCTCTCATATTAGGACCTTGTCTTGCAGTTATCGGACAGATAAGTAAGCACTTTCAGTCATTATAAAGAAATTAAATGTCAAGGGTGTGCGTATATCAAATAAATATTCGTTTTTCAAGCTGAAAAGCTAAACTTTTCCCATGAAATTACATGTACAATCCTTTAATCCTTAAAAACAAAAATCCTCTTTTGTAACTTTTAATTTACTTTAAGATACTTTGATTTAAACCTGAAGTTTTTTTCTCTTAAATTTCTTTTTTTTTAATTTCATCTCTCTTTTCTATTTCAAATTGTTTGTTAAATATTAATATTTTTCTTATTGTAGTTCTTCTGATCCTTGAGGTAACTTTAGAAAGAAGAAAAATCACCACAAACAGTAGCTCGAGGGAAGAATTTAGTTTTAGGTAATCCTACACTACAGTACACTAGAGTCGATTTTATATCTAAAAAATAAAGCTATTCGCTCATAGGTGGCTGGACCAAAGGAATTGAGTATTTGTCACAAACTCAAATTTCCTAATGCTTATATCTTGCCAATCTAATGGTGTAAATCTTTTATATTTCAAACTTAGATCACTTGAACTAACACAATTCATAATTTGAAATATCTAAGGTTTACGACATTGGGTTCTAAAGATATAGGAATTAAAAAATCAGAGTTTGTGGCAAAGACTCAATTCCTTTGCGGAAATTTTTTAATGGAGCCCCTTAAACTCTAAATTTATAATCTAAATATTTTTTCAACCTGTGTCCGAATTTAATAAATTTGAGCCGCGTTTTAAATCCGCCAAAAATCGGTTTCAATAGAGCGCCGGCTAAAATCTTAAAATATTGAATACAATTTTTAGTGGAACCAACCATATTTGAGCCTCGTCTCAAATTTAAGCTGCGGCTAAAATTCTTTAAATTTGGCCTGACCACTGTTTATGTAAGTTTAAAGTAAAGGTATATGACATCAGGTTGCAAAGATATACATGGAGATTATTTTGAAGCAAGTAATCAGTTCCTTTAGCGCTTTGAAATCTGTAATCATGAAGCGAAGTCAAAAATTGGGGAGTTCTATTTTCAAAATTGCAAAATTGCAGAAAATACAAGTTATTTCATGTGTCTGAGTGGAGGATGCACTTAAATGTTCCGAAATTTCCTGGTAAAAGGATTTTAACATTATTTCAATTTTTCTTGTCATTTATTTCCCTAATCTGACGATACTACACATTTATGGAAGATATTTAATGAAAAACATTTTTGCATTGTAAGTAAATACAAATAATATTACTTTCTAAAATTCTAAACCAAGCATATTGGAAGGATTTAGGATTTTTTCTTATTTTTCAAAGAATTAATCTTCTCTATCTTTTACACTTTTAGAAGAAATACAATCCTGTTCAAAATTTAGAAGAGATACTATCGTGTTAAATTTTTTTAAAGAAATACTTTAGTGTTTAAAATATAGAAGAAATACAATCGTGTTAACATTTTTTGAAGAAATTAAATTTTGTTTAAAATTTAGAAGAGATACTATCGTGTTAAATTTTTTAAAGAAATACTTTAGTGTTTAAAATATAGAAGAAATACAATCGTTTTAAAATTTTTTGAAGAAAGGAAATTTTGTTCAAAATTTAGAAGAAATACAATTGTGTTTAAAGTTTAGAAGAAATGAAATTTTGTTCAAAATTTAAAAGAAATACAATCGTGTTCAAGATTTTGAAGAAATACAAAAGTGTTCAACCTTTAGAAAATATAATTGTGTAAAATGTTAGGAGAAATTAAATTTTGTCCAAAATTCAAAAGAAATACAATCGTGTTCAAGATTTTGAAGAAATACAATAGTGTTTAAAGTTTAGAAGAAATGAAATTTTGTTCAATTTTTAAAATAAATACAATCGAAAATGACCGACCACCTTAAACAATTGGATAGAATTGGATTTAGAATTGGATAGAATTGGATTTAGAATTGGATAGAATTGGATTTAGAATTGGATAGAATTGGATTTAGAATTGGATAGAATTGGATTTAGAATTGGATAGAATTGGATTTAGAATTGGATAGAATTGGATTTAGAATTGGATAGAATTGGATTTAGAATTGGATAGAATTGGATTTAGAATTGGATAGAATTGGATTTAGAATTGGATAGAATTGGATGTAGAATTGGAAGATACAGATATAGTTTGATTGCGTTAATTGATTCAACAATTACAAAATATATATTTTTTTAAAGATCAGTTCGATTTCATATTTCTTATAACAATAAAGTTTGATCTTGACAATGCTTTAATATAATGGCTTGTTTAGGAGTGGAGTGCTTGATATTCTACTATGTGTACTACATGCTTGTAGTTTCTCTGTACACCTGGGATTGGCGGATTATCTGTATCCAAACCAAATATCTTTATTCCACTACACCCTGCTCAAATATATCATAGGATACAGCTACCTTTTTCTCTTCCCAATAATACTCATTATCTTTCAAGTAGGTGCAACTAGTGTTTATAATCTCTTCTGCTTCGTTTTATACTTTTCATAAATCTTTGAAGTAGGTGCAGCTAGTGTTTATAATCTCTTCTGCTTCGTTTTATACTTTTCATAAATCTTTGAAGTAGGTGCAGCTAGTGTTTATAATCTCTACTGCTTCGTTTATGAAAACTTTTAATAAAAATTTCAAGATTTAATTACTGTTTTTTGATAAAATTAGTTTCCATTAAACTTTTCAATATTTTAATCATAAAAAAATAGAAAAACGATCAAATGATCCAAAAACGATCGCTACAACATGCTTCATTTAGAATCGCTTTTAGTTTGTTTCTACATATAATTTCTGTCAGTTTCATAAAAGGTGCAAAAACTTTTGAATTGCCAGAGGTCGGATTTAATAAATAACTAGAAGTAGTTGAACTATGTACGGGTGTACTAAAACCAGACGGAAGGAGAAATTTAAATTCATGCAATATTAAAAGTACGACTTTTTGACCTCGTAACTCCTATAGTTTTGATTTTACGTACAAATTTGAGATTATCAATTTTATCCGATTACTATAGAAATTCAAATTATGCTTGTTCGTCTAGAATAGCTCTACATTGGGGGACTCAAGAATGAAAAACTTCCTCCTGTATACGCCCCTTCACTACACTATAGAGTAAACAAACCTCTAAACAATCTGAGATTTATCACTCAACAGTCAGAAGTCGGCCTTTAAGCATCTTTCTACCTGTCCGACAGAAATTATGCTTTTTATGAATATTTAGGGAACATTTAGGGAACATTTAGGGAACGTTTAATTTAGATGGTTCATAATCCTTCCTTGGGGCCATGTGATTTGCCACAAAAAGTTTCAGCTGTTTTGATCTTAATTCACAAACAAACAGAAAAAAATAAAGACAGACAAAGACTTGAAACCGCAACCGCGTTTTGAAAATGCTTTAAATACAAAATTTCAGGCTAGAATTTGAAAATTCTTTGATATCCCTAATTTTCTCTTTTCTGAATCTTATCTCAAAATTCCACAGATTAACCTATTTTTAAAAGTTTCTCCGCAAAATGTATCTTTTTATCCCGTATTTCTTGGCTTTTTTACTTCTTCTTTTTGCTAGGAAATTTCAGGCATAAAAAATTCCGAAATATTTCATGAGTATTCACTTTATACTCTAGGGTTTGTAAATGAGCCTAACTATAGTATAGTACTACAATATGCATGAAATATATAGATAATAGAATAAATCAAAGTTTGTGCCATATTATGAAAACCGTGTATTCATTTTAAAAGTTTTTTTTTTATTTTTTCTGATATTTTTAATCTCCTTGAAATATGTAGTTTCTATAAATATAGATTTAATCTGCTCTGCAAAAGCTGAGCCGGCAGATTTTAAAACATGAATTTGTTTTTCCAAAAATAACATTAATGGAATTTTATCAATTTCGGAAAAAAATGTTAAAATAATATTTAATATCTAAAAATAAACATTTTTTTCTCATCAAATTAATATTTAATTTTTGAAGAGGCTATTGCCCACATACATCCAGACTGCGATAAAAGTTTCATCAATTTTCGAGACTGGGTCGAATTTGATCTGTCGCAACGCCTTGGGCTTTAATTTCACTCATATTTTTTGTAGACTATAGACATGTACATGTTAGACCTGTGATGAGCTTGTTTTTTTAAAAGTAAATGGCAAAATTCTCCTTTAGAGCTGGAAAGGCAATGTGCGTCATGTATCCCTTCAAAAAGTGGCCCTAACTTTAAAATAAAAAAAAAGGTTTTATTAAAATTAGGTTCAAAATCCCTTTAATTTTAAAATTCATGAATCCCTGAAACTTGTCAAATCCTGAATACTTTCATCAACTCATTAATTAATATTTTCCTACTTCCATCACATCCCGTATGTAATATTGTTTTGATTGAGAGTATCGGTATAAATATTAATATATATATAAATATTAATATATGCTGGGTCTAGATTGTCAAATTATTTTATGAGGGCAAGGTTATACTTTACATCAAATAGATTATCAAGTTCACTTAGGTGGCAACAGAGAAAGGGATCAATTATACAGGACGTCACAAGTGTCAAATATAACATGGAACACGAAAGGAACTGAGTTTTTGTCACAAACTTAAATATTCTTATCCTTATATCTTGGCGACCCAATGTCGTAGACCTTAAATATTTCAAACTATTAATTCTGTTAGATAAAATAATCTAAGTTTGAAATATCAATGGTTTATACCCACTGGTTGCAGAGATATAGAAATTAGAAAATTTGAGGTTGTGGCAAAAACTCAATTCCTTTCCTCACATTAGTTGACATATTTTCCAAGACTAAATAAAAAAGTGTAGAACAGAAAATAAAGAACACGTTAAATTGCACTTATTTTACTATGAGATAAGTAATTTATTCTAAAATTATCATTATTATCAATAATTTTGTCGGACGCAAAAACTGAATTGACACTTGTGAAGTCAAAATACATCTGTTACTGATAATGTACAAATTCTACGTTGCCATCTATGGTATTAGGAGCTATTTGCTTTACATAAAACAATCCACACACAACCATCTTCATTTATTAATACGTTGCATTGTTATTTTCTGTTAAAGTCTTGTTTACAAATGTTGAAAAGAGAGCGTAAACGTGTTTCTAGTAACCCTCCATTGAAAGGGTGCCATATCCAATTCACAGCATTTGAAATGAAAGTTTTGCCTTTGTTTGATGAATTAGATTTATAATTTAACTTCAACAAAAATATTTTTATTATTTCTGTAAAACCATAGAATTTTTATGTCGCGAATACAATACATTTCTTATTTAGAATTTGTTCATCTTCCCTAGATCTATATATAGCCAGTCTTTATTACTTTTTTATTTTTCATTCTTTAAAAAAAATACATTTTTTCTATTAATCATTCTTTTCGTTTTTACTCTGATTATACTCCTCCCCATATGTTTCTCAGAAATATCAAAATTTTTTATTATACTTTTTAAAATGAATATTTACATTATTTTTAACCCTCAATTGCAAGGTTAGACAACAAGCACTTTTATTAGATAAGAATAATTTAAAAATAAATCAAATACAATTTTAGAACTTTGCAATAAAGTGTTTAGCTTTTGACATGTTTGACTCACATTCATTGTCTGGTCAATCTTCTATCTAAAACTGTCAAATGTGGTTCAACTGTAAAATTTACTTGCGGATGCATGCGCTGCAGAAACAATGTAGAATACTGAAAGATTATTAAATATAAAGACAACTTCCTCATTGTTAAGAACTAAAGAGGACAGTTGTAAATTGGACAAACCGTTCAATAAATAGAAAGTTACGTTAAATAACGTTAAATTACATTGATAACGTTAAATTACATTAAAGTACGTTAAATTGCATCAAATTACGTTTAATTACGTTAAATTACGTTAAATTCCATTAAAATACGTTAGATTACGTTAAATTACGTCTACTTTCTCTTTAAAATTCTTTTACATTTGTTCAAAACTTTAATTCAAAGTTTTAAACTTTAATATAAAGTTTTAAAATTGAAAACATTTTCATGATTGTGTGTGTTGTTCAAGTAATTACCTCCTAAAATGCTAAATGAAGAGATATGCAAAATTTTCAATCCTAAAAACTAAACATCATTTGTTCACGTTAATCGTTCAAGCGAGTTTAAAAAAGTTTAGCAAATTGAGACTTAAATAACTTGGAAAAACAAACCAAATATCTAATGTACATTTTACATACATACATTTAATGAACGCAAGCAAGCCATATATCAGTTTTATCAATGCAACTGCAAATTGCAATCAAATATAAACATATAGAAACTAATGTAAGATTTGGGGCTAAGCCATGCATGAAAATGTCACATTTTGAGATCGCGGAACTAATTCAAAACTTTCATAAGAAACAGAAAATTTTAAGTCTGCCAATATTTCTGCAGATTTTATATTTCTTTGTTAGACACATAGTACGGAATTTACTAATTAAAAATAGTTAATTAGGAAAGAAAAGGATGAATGTAAAGATAAGGATGAGGGATGAAGGGTAGAAGGATGATGGGAGGAATAGTAGAAGGATGAGGGATGAAGGGTAGAAGGATGATGGGAGGAATAGTAGAAGGATGAGGGATGAAGGGTAGAAGGTTGAGGGATGAAGGGTAGAAGGATGATGAGAGGAATAGTAGAAGGATGAGGGATGAAGGGTAGAAGGAGGAGGGATGAAGGGTAGAAGGATGGTGGGAGGAATAGTAGAAGGATGAGGGATGAATGAAAGGAAGGATGAAGGATAACTGGTAGAAGGATGAGGGATGAGGGACGAATGCAGGATAAGGGATGGAGAGAGTAAGCTCCTACTCCTCTAGTGAGAGTATATGAGACGGGTCTGAGCTCAGTGTAAAAAGAGAATCACTATGGACAACACAGCCTCCTTACTCTAATACTCTGTATAGTGCAGCTCAGTACAAATTCACGGTAAATTACATTCCTCTCAAGGATTGAAAGCAACAAGTGATAATAAAACAAATAGATATATGTATTGCGTAGTATTTTAACAAATTTAGGGGATTTTGTAAAAATCTGATTATCTGAGTGCATTTGACAAATGAACAATTTCCATGCTTCTAATATATAGTGAGATACATAAAACTAGGGAATAGGAAAAAAAAACTTATGACTCGATTTATTATTTAAATTAGTCTATTGGACAAGAAAAACACCAATTGTACAGTGTAAGCAAATAAAATCAAATATACATGAAATAGCTTAAACATCCATCTTAAATTTTTTTGGGGGTGTCCCGCTCCACCGTTTGTTATCAATATACGTTCTTCAATTTCCTAAAAATTTAAAGTTATTAAACTAAATATCCAAATTGATATAATCAATGTTTCAGATCAAATTTTTATCTGATTTTAAATTTTGAAGATTTCAGGCCAAACCAAATACTATTTCCAAATATGGAAATATCTAAATTAATGACATGTTATTTACTTACAATAAAGCTTTTTTATGCAAAGAAAAAAAGTTAACGAATTTTTTTTTCCAGATACCGATGTTAACCCTAATTTTGAATTAGATTATAATTTAATAATATTTTTAAAAAATATGTTCGGTACAGTGGGTCCCATAAAACTGTGTAATAAGAAAACAACTTTCATACTCAAGTTATGATTCTAGATGGTTCAATAAATATAAAACACAGCAATTGCAAAGAGCAGTGTGTAAAGAGTAAAGACACATTTCACTTATTAGGTTGATTCCTATTCCAATGTTTTTTAGGTTTTTACTATTTTCAAAAAAATTTTTATTATTGATCATGGAAAAATAAGTTGTGCACTGAATCTGGAAAATCAGTGTGTGACATTTAAACAATAGTTCTTGATTTAAGCAATAGTTCCTGATTTAAGCAATAGTTCCTGATTTAAACAATAGTTCCTGATTTAAACAATAGTTCCTGATTTAAGCATGAAATTATTTAGGATTTTTATCTGAAACTTCCGTGCTATATGTCAGAAACATGAAAATCGACACAGATTTAAGAAACGTGTTAAAAATATAATTTTATAATAATCATCCTTAGTCGGTTCTATTAATTTAAAGATCGATACGGCTATAAATATTTGACTAAATGTTCAAGACTGGGTGAGACTTTAAAGTGTCGCAATGCCTTGAGTTTACCTACACTTTAGTTTCTCTAGAAGTAATTATTTCCATTTACTGATAGCGCCGATATATGTATTTATCTCCAATTGGATGATGAAATAGATACCGCCATACTATTTCTATTGGTTCAGAATAGACACCAAAGACATGACTGAACCCTGATTGGATCAGGCGCTAATGGACTCGGCATACAAGAGTGCTCAAAAACTCTGATGAACTCACTTTTTTTAGCCCTAGACATTTAAATTTATAAACTCTAAAGCACTTAAAAATAGCTTTAGTTTTGGAACACCCTTACAGTGTGATTTATAATCCCTATATCTTTGCAACCTAATGACAACTAAGATATTTGAAACTGCGATTATTTGATCTAACAGAATTCATAACTTTAAAATAAAGGTCTCCGACATCGGGTTGCAAAGATATATGGATTAGAAAATCAGATTTTCTGGCAATCTCAGTTTCTTTTAATATTTCAAATTACTCAATATTACTCATTAGTTTGCAAAGATAATAAAATATATTTAAAATGTTAAATAATTTTTAACTTAGGAAAATGCAGTTATTTTTTTTCTGTATACAAATAAATATATGAAACCTAATGAAAATGTATTTTTTATTGTAATGACACCATGACAGTTTTTATATTACATAACATACTTTTACTCTCACTTCCATTAAACCTCCTTCATATTTCTCGATCCTGCGTTATAAACATGCCTCCATACTTTCAGCATTAAGTACATTCTTTGTTCAGAATACTCAATAATTTATGATTAGAAAAGAAAAAAGATCAAAAGAAAAATGACAATTTATAAACTCTAGTATATCTTCAACAATAGTTTATGATACTGGTTTGTCTTGCAGTAATATATTGTTTTACAGGGGGTTCCAAAATATAAGATTTCTATAAAATACACACAGGGGGTTCCAAAATTATAAGGTTTCTTTAAAAATAGGAGAGGTTAAAAAGAAAAAAATTTGTTTGTAGGCCCCAGATAATGATTTTACAAAAATCTACTTTCATTAAAAATAATTTTTAGGGGTTTTAATTCTTTTTGGACACATTGAACCTAGGTTGTAAGTCCTAACTCTTTAATGATCATATTTCATTTTTTCTTAAGATTCTAACTGTGTGAGTTGTGTGATATGTTTCCAACAATAAACTAAATCCAGACCAATCTAGAAACTGAACATTAATTTTTATATATGAAAAGTTGTCAGAGCTAACGAAGTAAAAAAGTGGTGGATCATAAATGGATATTGGTCTGACAACAAAGTAAAAAAGTGGTGGATCAGAAATGGATATTGACATTCCTTATATTTCCTGACGCTTATCTAAATCTGAAAATGGGATTTTGCGCGCTTAAATAACCTCAAATTTTTATTTAACAACGTGGGTTTACAAAACAAAGATTTGTTAAGGATCAACCAGGAAACAATTTAAACAACTATAATCTGCCAGATTCCAACCAAAACAAAACTAACCTTGGTTCGCTGTGAACATCAAAGATACACCAAGAACTTAAACCAAGAATTCTAATTTATCTATATATATTTTGTACAATAAGTGTACAGTATTTACTGCGAGGCTTATAAACAATACTCTGCTTTAGAAGAGTCAAGTTTGTTTATGTTCTTCCCACTAAATGCAGTACACTAAAAAAAGGAAATTCCTGGTGTTTTTTCCTTGGATGAGCGTGACCTGAGTATGACAGGTTGTTTTCTAAGCTCACCCTGTGGTGTAGAAAGTACATCAGTAGATCCAGGGTTAGATAAGTATACCCTACTTAACTAGATATTTTTACTACATATATATATATACTATATAAAACATATCATCACATCATCAAAATAAAGAAACCGGGGAAAAACTTAGACTCGTCAAATTTTCTATTTTAGAAAAAAATGTTCGCAAATAAAGATCTAAGTTTTTGTTTTCGAATCCCATTTTCGAATGACTTATCGAAATTTCACGATTGTCAAATCACGACAAAAGACAAAATTCAAACGTCAGATCGTCATATATATTCACAGATTTTGTTGTCGTCCTTAAAAACTCATTCTTTCTGGGCAATCCTGTGGTTGAACAAGCCGCCTGAGCCTATATAGTTGAACTACTTCTCCGTATTTATTTAAATCTACCTCGGAATGAGTTTGTAAAGGTATTATTAGGGTTTCTGTTGAAATTGTGCAAATTTAGAAAGGAATGATTCTCGAAATATTTTCAAAAATCTAATAAATATTTGAAAATGAATGATGCCGACTAAACAGACAAATATAAACATGCAGGGTTACTCACTAAGGATGAGATTTTAGAGACAACTTTTCAGAATGTATTCTGTCTGTTTCCTTATACTTAGGAATCCCTGTAGCTGTATTCTGTCTGTTTCCTTATATTTAGGAATCCCTGTAACTGTATTCTGTCTGTTTCCTTATATTAGAAATCCCTGTAACTGTAAACCTGTTTTTTTCTTTCCCAAATCATTATATAATCCATTGAAATACTAGGTACACGCAGACGAATACATTTAATCTTAGAATCGTCATATTTGATGAGTTTCCGGTCTTCTTTACAGTCTTATTCTTTGTGGGTAACCCTGTAGCTTGAAATCTGAGATATATGGATTCAACATACTAATGCAAGGGAAGTTATTTCAGAGGTGAACACATTTTTTGTACTGCAGTGTACTGTCTTTGGGCGGAAAAGTAAACAAAAGACGGATGTCACAGCCTGACATGGAATCCATTTTTACAAAAAAAAATCTATGAAATATTATGGTCATAGGAAACTATAATGTGAATTATCAAAATTATCAAAATATTAAATGCTTTTATCCTCCTCGGATACTAAACGAACACTGATGCATCTATTCTTGTTTACAAATTCCGCCCAGAGAGAACTGGTTTCAATATGTGCGAGTATATGCGACTGCAATTAACTTTCCTTGCATTATAACCTTGTTTGGATTAATCTTGTATTCTAGAAAGATGTGGCTTCATCTGTAGTACGAGTCTACCATGAAACCTCAGCATCTACAGAATTAACGGAATCTCAGAAAATTCAAGAAATTATTGAAGAAATGGCAATTAAATAAACTTATAACTGTATAATAAAACACGTTGAACTAAATCAAATTAAACGTAGAATTGAAATCTTATAAACCCTCTTATTGAAGAGCTATAATTGAGAAGAATAAACATGTTTTTAATTTCTATAAATATATAAACGGATAAATTTGCTTTTCTCATACGTGTGTTTAAAATCAAAACTATTGGAGCTATGTTGTCACAAAGTCATACCAGTAATATCGCAAAAATTTGACATTCTCCTTCTGTCTATAGTGAAACAGAGTACTTGCCACAAACTTAGGTTTTCTAATCCCTATATCTTGATGAAGTTAACGTTTGATATTTCAAACTTACACTTTTTCATATAACAGAATTCACAGAAAAATCAGAAGTCTGCAACATCGGGTTGCAAAGATATAGAGATTAAAAAACGAGAGTTTGTGGCAAGAACTCAGTTCCTTTTAACACATTATTATAAAAATGTACATATTTGTGTCGTGTACAAGATCTATTTAAAAAGAACCTGCCAAAACTTGACAGGTTTTTGTCTTTAAAATAAATTTGTGTAATTTTTTTGCATTTATTACTAACCAAACTATTATCTATTTGCCTTTTCGATAAAAATAAAGATTATTTAAGAAATGACAAGTAAATTGACTCATTCCTATATAATAATATTTAAATTTTTGATAGATTATTATCAAAATGTATATATATCTATAGCCTACCTAAGGATTTGAGTTTTTGCCACAAGCATAATTTTTCTAATCCCTAAATCTTTGCAACCTGATGGTGTAAACCTTTCATATCTCAAACTTATTTATTTTAACAGAATTTATATTTTAAAAATATTAAAAGTCAACGTAATCAGATTTAAAAAATATCTGGATTAGAAAATCAGAGATTGATGCAAAAACGATTTGCTTTATCTATAAAATAGAACAATTGTATTATTTATAAAATATAATAAAAAATACGTGTTTGCATTTATTTATGACAAAAATGTTATCTATTCGCCTTTTTGTTTGTTAAAAATTAATAAAAGAAATGGCGTACACCTGAGTTGAGTTTTTGTCACAAAAATAAATATTCTAATCCCTAAATCTTTGCAATCTGATGACGTGTAAACCTTAGATAATTCGAACTTACTTGATCTTTTAGAAATCAGTAATTGTGGCAAAAATGCAATTCCTTTTTATTTAAAATAGAAGAGAACAAGTATATTATTTATATAATATTATTTTGTAAAATTTTTAATTTGTTTACATTTACTTCTGACAAAAGTTTTACTAATTTGTTTTGTTGGTTTAAATCTAATCAACATAAAACGGAATAACAAAAATATTTTTAAATAACAGAAACAAATATTATAATAAACAGTTTTGCCAATAATGGTAGAAGCTGAAAATCCATCTCTAAACTAATAAAAATCCTTAAAGTCAAAAAATTATGTATTTTTTTGAAAGCGGAAGATTTACAGGTTAATGTTAATAAAGAAAAATAAAAATAAAAAATAAATAAATCTAGTGTGAATCTGCTGACCTAAAGAATTCAGACGAAATTGAGTAGAAAAGAATTCGATAAATAGTTCCGGACTGTAGGAGCTTCATGCCAGGGGTGTAAAGATTGTAATTATGTATACACTGAATATAAATTAAAAACTAGACTCAGCCTACTCAATTAATTACATTATACTCAGCCTACTCAATTTATTACATTATAAATCACCTTGAAAGTTAAAACAACTTTTTCATTTAATTTATTTACCCTTATCCTCATTCTCATTGTGCTAGTTTTATTTCTTTGAAACAAGAAGTGGTTTCACGTAGTTCATACAGTTCAACTATTATTCAGTTCTTGGACAAACAAGATATGTACATTGTAAATTGCACAGCGTATTGTACTTGTACATGAACCATAGAAATTGATTCTTTGCCACAAACTCAACTGATCTAATCCTTATATCTTTGCAATCTGATGGTATAAACCTTTGATATTTTAAATTCATAGTTTGAAATATCTAAGGTCTACGGAATTGGGTTGCAAAGAAACACAGAGACTAGAAAATCAGAAATTGTGGCAAAAATTCAATTTCTTTGATCAATAGCGAGAATTAGTTGTATCGTGTAAACTTAGTTAAACCACTTCTCTTCAACTTGAACCGGCGTACAAGAGAAGTGGTTCAACTTCGTAGCTCAACTATACTTCTTACTATTTATTATATGTGGGTCCAGAATCTGCAAGATATTGCAGATGTAGTTTTTATATTTCAATTATAAGAATAGCCATGCTCGTCTGTTCAGTATAATCATCTTTTCAAGACCATACTTGTCTTAAACATTCAACCCTTAGTGGTACAGCTCCGGGCATATTTTATAATACTTTATCAGTTATGCTTCTCATTGCCTTTACAGAACCCAAACCAAGGTTTAGAATTGATATTGCTGACTCACGTTAATCTAAAGTAAATTTCACGCACGATTGCAATATTATATGTTTTCAGCTGTTTTGGCGTTTATTGGATACAAACCAACAAACAAAACACCCAAGCAGAATAAATATATATACTAGGCCTTTCTTCGTACATCATAAAACTAAAATATTTTGCAAATTTTTCTGTGAGCATTGCTTAATATTGTCTTTAATCGATCTTATTCTGAGAAAAATTTTAATTTCGACATGACTTTCCGGATGGGGTCAGTTTTTGTTAGTTTGTTTTTATAAATTGAATTTTATCAGTTTATTTCTATGAAAAAAATGGGAACCATTACAGGATATTTAGATAATTGGAAAAAATCATATTCAAAGAAGTTTTTAATAAATAGGATGATTCTAGAATTGTATAAATTGTAATGCATAACTTGTGCCTTGTTTAAGGTTAAATATTTAAAACTGAAATTTAATCAACAAATCAACAATGAAAAGTAAAAATGATTGTTCATGTTTATGTTTTTTTTTAGGTTAGATTACATGATAGGACAATTTGAGGTAGTTGATACTTTTCTTTAAACCATGTTTAATGTTTCGTTGTTCGATTCTAATCATATCCATAAAATGTTTAATCGACAATCTTTTGATTCAGAATGCAAATTTGCAAAAAAAATTATTTTTCCTAAATATTCGGATACCTCTTTCCTCTCTCGATCCGCCAATGATAAGAAATGCCAAAAATATCAAAAATTTAATTTAATTTAATGAAGAATACCAAAGGTTCAATTAATTTGATTATTCGGTGGATTGTGAGAGAATTGCAATTTGTATTCTTTAAACCTACAAGATCTTGATTTATGGTTTCTCAGAAAAAAGTGTGTTTAAAAATAATCTTTTTATTTCATTTCTCTCTAGATTTCTATTTTTTATCTATATTTAATTGTTGTTAACCGTAATCTCAATTAAGTGTAATCATGAATCAAAAAAATTAGATATTTGTTATTGGGAAAAAGAATAAAAACGGCAATTTAGAGCAAAGTGTTTCATCAACGACCCCCCCCCCTCCCCCTCCCCTTTCAGGTACATTGTACCTGCAGTTAACTTATTTTTGTAAAGAAACCTAATATATTTTCGAATGTTAGGCAAACTTTTAAAATTTAAAATGGTATTTAGAGCACATTACTTCGTTGACGACCCCCAGCGCCCACCCTTTCTGGGCATTGCAAATGTTCGAAACACTTTTTAGTTCAGTAAAACGACGTTTAGTAGGCTAAAAAAACTTAAACACATTACACACTTCTATCAAGTGTGACCCATTAAATATGAGAATTGTATGATTACATCTGTTTATATGAAGATCTGATAGTATGTATGTAATGAATTTGTATCTTTTAGGGCATCAAAATACATATTCAAATTATATCTATACAAGTAAGATATATCCACATATTTAATATATATTTATATATACTATATCTTGGGGACCCCGCCTTGCCTGGAAACAAAATGTTCTCTTTAAAAGTCAGCCCTCTCAACCTTAAACTTTCAAACGAAGCTATAAAGATATAGCTAGATACCTTAATATTTGTGTGTATTTGTAGAGATAGACTTGAAATGTGATTCCAATAATCTTAAAACTATAAACATAGTTTTCTGAAATTATATTAATATATATTTTAAGCTACGATTTTGAGAAATCTTAATCAGACGCTTCAAGAGAAATGTATAAGTTGTTCATGTTTAATAATATTTGATACTTTCAAAAATGAAATTTAAGAGCGCTTTTAAACATGAATAAAATTTTGAAATCAAATAAAGGAAATTTTTTGATTTAAATGTTGTATCATTAATTATAGAATTGACCCAGTTTTGATAAGATAAAGACTTTGAAGGCCTGTCAACCCAATTTTCAGTGATCCTCTATTAAAGCATGCAATACATGCCCCATCTTCAACAGTTCCTTTTTACCCTTTATTGGATTAACAATTAGGAAGATATCGTCGTTTTTCTGTCTTAAAACTATCCTCCCAATTTCCTTAATAAATCGGCATAAAACCGCAAGCCGGTTTCACAGGGAACCCCAATTAAAAGTTATTCATTTTCTGATATAAAAGTAAGCTTATTTCAGTCAGTTTTGCTTCTGCAAAAGTTTAAAGGTTACCGTTGTAAATCGGCATCTATACTCTTCAAATAAAGGGTCGCTTTACGTCAATAGTCCCTTTAACTTCTTTTTCTCTAAAAAATGAAACTTTTGTGAATTAAGAATGCTTTATATTCTTGAAATTTTAGACATGTTTGTGGCAACTAGTTTTCACATGATACAATTTTTTGAATTAGTTGCGCTTACAATGATCCAAACGTTGCAAGCTCACACGCAATAATTCATAGAATTCTAAAGACAAGTGTTTTGGTGTTCTAATTTGTCTGGGGCTCCACAAATTATAAGTTTGTTAGTGAGAAAAAATCAAGCCCAAGGCGTTGCAACCCCATTAAGTCGACCCGGTCTCGAAAATTGATGCAACTTTTGATAGCAGTCTTGATCTATGTGGCTAGCTAGCTAAGGGCAGAGCAATTTTTCAATCTTTTCAGTAAATATGTCATCCGTCCCTCCAGCCCACTAACTAGTTCTAATGAATGGGAACTTCTAGAATTAAATTGACATTTTTAAAATACCATCGTGTCTGCATTCATCTTTTTTTTCTTTTTTTTCGTCCTTTCATTTTTCCTCTTTTTTCTCCTTTTCTTTTCTTTTTTCTCCATTTATCTATTCTTATCTTCTTTATTCCCTCCTCAGTTCTTTTTCCCCATTTTCTCTCTTTTATTTTTCTATTTTTTCACATCTTTCATTGTATCTTCTTATCTTCTTTTTCCCTTTTTCTCCTCTTTTTACTCCTGTTCATTCTTTGTTTTATTCTATTTTCTCATTTTTTCCAGCCTTTGCTTTCTCCTGTTTGTTATTTTTTCTCCTTTTCTTTATTTTTTTCATCTATTTCCCTTCTTTTTTATATTTACCCTTTTCTTTTCCTTTACTTTTCTTTTTTCGTCCATTTTACCCTCTTTTCCCTATTCTTTTCTTTCCTCATTTATTCTATTTTTATTCCCTTTTTCCTTTATCTTCTTTTCTCATCTTTTTTATATTTTCTCCTTTACTTCTTCTGTCTCTTCCATTTGCCACTTTTTAATTACTTTCCTCTTCTATCCTTCTCTTTCCACTTCTATCCTTCTCTTTCCACTTCATTTACTTTTCATTCATTATTGTTGTTCTATATTTAAAAACTGCTTTTTCATGAAGCTTAAACATTCTAATCCTTTACAGTGCATTTTAGGCTTACTTGGTAGAATCTTTTACATGATGCTTATTGCGATGCATTTTTAAGTCAAGGTTTATCTAGATAAAGCATGAACTAGGTAAACACTGATAAAAAATATTCTACGCAGGATACTATGCAGTTCTCTAGTCTGTCCTATCAGCATATTACAAACAAACAAATATACTTTTATCATATTGCGATAACAAGTAAAAAACGAGGTCAAAACACTATAACCTTTAGAATGAGTTATATCATATTATGTATTCTTTAACTAGGTTTAATTTATTTTATCTTTTATATTTTGAATTAACTGCTTTCATCTTTAATTTAATTTTCTAATTTAAACTAAATTTAATCTCTATTCAGAAGATTTAGGGTTTTAGTTAAGCAAAATAACTTTGAACAGTTTTGAAGTTTTAGAACGGATTTAAAATATTAACCAAATTGTAAAATCATTTGGTCATTTATTATTTTTAAAATTTTTTTCGTCATTTTTTTAGAAAAATATGGGCTATTTTTCCAGGGGTCAGTTTTTGTTNACAGCTATAATGTTAAAAAACGAAGAAGTTCTTATGTAAGCCGTTATTTAGAAAAAAATGGAGGGTGGAACAAACACCCCCCCAGGCCCCCGTGATAGGGTTAAGGCAAATAGTTTTCCTAAACCTAAAAACCTAAAAATCATGTGAGAATAGAACTAAAAACTGTCAACAAAGATCATACTTTTGCTTGTTGTTAACAATATTTTATGAAAATATTTTCTTAAATTCTGTATCAAATAAGATTTATAAACATGATGTAAGTGTAATTGTAAACTTTAATGCACGTTTTAACAAAGCTAAATATCATAAAGTTAAAACAAAAATTAGAAATACAAGAATTTTACCACATTATTTCCATAATTCAGTACAAACATAGACAAAAGTGAAAAAAGTCCAAGATAAAGAATGACAAATGAAAGATTGTGACAAAAATAAATTAGGAAGTGAGAAAAGAACTATAAAAAAAGATTATAAATATAAAAAAACAGGATTTAAAAAAGAACTTGTATAGTTGATTAAAAAATACATTGAACAGTTAGCACAAATGTAAAGCTATATTCAGCTAGTAATCAAGTTTATCAATAAATAACCTATATTTTTTCAGATTTTTGCTGACGAGTTTAAAATAGGACTGAAATAACTTGAGAGCTCAACCGAATAGTTAACTTGAGAGTTTAACTTCAGAGTTAACTACACAACTCAACTGAAGACTAAAGAGTTAACTAAACAGTTTAACCGTTAAGAGTAACTTACAAAATTAATCCGAAGAGTTTTCTAATCTCTGAAGAGTTCTACTAAAGAGTTAACTAAAGAGTCCGAAGAAACAACTACAGAGTTGAACCGAAGAAATAACTCCAGAGTTGAGCCGAAGAAATATCTACAGAGTTGAACCGAAGAAATAACTACAGAGTTGAACCGAAGAAATAACTCCCGAGTTGAACCGAAGAAATAACTACAGAGTTGAACCGAAGAAATAACTACAGAGTTGAACCGAAGAAATAACTCCCGAGTTGAACCGAAGAAATAACTACAGAGTTGAACCGAAGAAATAACTACAGAGTTGAACCGAAGAAATAACTCCAGAGTTGTACCGAAGAAATATCTACAGAGTTTAACCGAAGAAATATCTACAGAGTTGAACCGAAGAAATAACTACAGAGTTGAACCGAAGAAATAACTACAAAGTTGAACCGAGGAGTAAGAGTCGGAGTTGTCAGAAAGTCATCAAATATGGAGGATGAACAAGAGAGATATAAACGAAAGGAAAAAATAACATTTGTTAAAAATATTACTTTAGTTCATTAACATTTCGATCGCTTAAATTAAATCATACTGAAAATAATTATCATTATTGTTCTAATTAATTCTTATTATTTGCCGGAGTATTTTAACAAGTATCATATTTCAGAGCTTAAGTTTTATTTTTCGTCTAGGGGTTTAAAATATTAATAAAGTTTAAAGGGACTGTCGGGATAATTTCAAGAAACCTCAATTGAAAGCACAGTCCTACCCTTGACCCCTTAGCTTTATTAGAGTAAAAAAATGAGAAAGATATCGTCTTGAAACAAAATCTAAAATCTAACCCTCTCAAATTATACCTTGTCTCTGGTGTAAAAAATCCCCCGCAAATCACATTTATAAAGCGCCGAAAGTAAAAATTACCAATTTTTTTATTGAAAAACAAGATCATTGTCATACGCCGATTTAACGGGTACTGAATTATGAATCGGACATTGTACCTTTAAGGCTTGTATCCATAGAGAATAGAATATATAGAGAGGAATTAAAAGAATCTCTCGGTATGAATTTTTTCAGTCCCTTTCAGCCTGAAAGGGAGTTCAAAGTGTACAAATCATGTAAATGTTCACAAATTATATGCAGTAGATACATTAATACAGTATGTTCCCTAGACTATCCATTTCAATTTCGAATTTTCTAAACTGTTAAATAAACTTTATAATGAATTAGGTGAATAAAAACATCATTTGATTTATAGTTATAAGGGAAAATCATCGTTTGTAAAGTGGAAGGCATAGAGTCTATATGAAATGATCATTGGTCAATTATGAAACCAGCCTATTTCATAATTTGGTTTTCTTTTAACAATAATTTTAGATTTTCTATATAATGATATTCCAGGGCCCAACAGGTTATATAGCATAAATATGTGAAGTACACCTGCAGTATGGAAACAGTACAACAAAATGGCCGTTTTACACTTTTTTCCATTAAATTCATCTCTATATATTCTATTCTCTATGCGTGTATCTGATGTACGGAGTGTACTACGAGTACTGCATGAACTTCAACTTTCATTGATTTATTTAAATCTCAAGCTTTCTGCACAAACTATTCTCGGTCTAAAAATACAAGGTTTAAAAGAGTTACTAGGCAAAATTAAAGAGACTGTAAAGGAGTTGATCACGTTATATAGACGGAGACACGTGACATTGATACTACACTGCCATTGGTGGGAGTGATGGTCACGTGATACGGACGTATTTAAATAATATTATTAATTATATCTATTAAAAATCAAAAGTTATTAAATTCAAATAACAATAGGAGCAAACCTGAGTTTTTCAGTCGCCTCCGGGATATACATAATCTTACATATATCTTATACAAAATCTTACATATATAAGGTTTGGTATAATTTTGACACAGTTTTATATCAATTTCTCGAGACAGGAACATCAGATAACTCTAATAGTTTTCGATAAACTGCTGAAATGCTCAGGTTTCAGCTTATACCCCCTTTAATTTTTCCTTTACAGTCCCTTTAATGGAGAAACATTTGGGGTAACGAAACTCGGGTAAAGGGGGAATATTTTCTAAATCTATAAAGATCTTTCATATGGGATAAAACAGGTGAAGAAAAGTTAACAAGGTGTGTCTGTTCAGTGTTTAAGAATAAATAGTTTGTAATTTGTCAGTCTGGACTTTTCACCAGAAACTTCACAATGCATCCGTAGCAAACTCATTCAAAATAATCTTGGAAAATTTTAAAAATGTTTACTATCGTACTTTCAATCATTATACACAAGCGCTTCAAAACTATTTCTTTTTAAACAAAGATAAAAGACACGCTTTTTTAGATTGAGTGACCGGCGTTGCCCGTTAAAATCTCAAAAATTGTCAAACGCACCACAGAAGACGACCTCCTTTGCCGAAAAGGACATTTAGAGTGATAAATGTTTTGCAGCAAAGAAATTTGTTTATCTCATATTTGTGCGTAAAATCAAAACTACAGGAGCTACAAGGTCACAAAGTCGTATCATGATGTCGCATTAATTTAACCTTTTCCTTCTGATTCCAGATGCACATTTCCTATCGTTCTATATAAAAATAATAATGCTGAAAGGAATTAGGAAAATTAAGAAGTGCAGTTAGGAATTAGGAAAATTAAGAAGTGCAGTTAGGAATTAGGAAAATTAAGAAAAATTTCTATGAAAGTTAGATTTAAACTTTTACAGAGAAATCCACGCTCCAGACTTTGTTGATTATTCCCGAGGCAGCTTTTATACTTCAAATATTTTTATTAAAGGAACTGTCTACGAAATATCAAGTGATCAAGAAATTTGCAGATTTCTGCTGCAGATACATTGGAGGAAAACGTTGAAATAACGACAATATCTTCCACAGAATTAAAATAAAATAAATAAAAGTTTTAAACGTACAGGCATGTTCCTGTTCAAATGGAGGTTTATTCGAAATCACACCGAAAGTCCCTTTAAAAGTGAAAAAATTTAGAATAACCCAAATATGTTTGTAACATTTTCTAGATAATGCTCAATCGTCCTTTCTGGTGACAATTTTGTTTCAAATATTCAAATGTTAAATTTACAGAGTTCTGGACGTAGTTTCTTATCATCACTAGCCAGGTAGAAATCATTTAAAAAAAAATTTATTCCAAAATATTGTAAAATAGTCAAAATTTTGTAGATTTAATTTATTTCAAATTGAACATATGGTTGATGAATGTAACAAAACATGTTTATTATTACTTTTTTAAATATTTAGAAAATTCTCACAAAAGCAGAGTTCTGTGACAGCCGCTGAAACTATGGGAACAGAAACTGGGAAAAAGTTTAACAAAATAGACATTGATCGAGCAGACGTTGATCGATTAGACGTTGATCGAGTAGACATTGATCGAGTAGACACTGAAGATAGAGAAAATACAAAAGACAAAGAGATGAAAGTATTTTCTAGTGCTAAAATCATTGTTGACACTAAACACGTGGAGAAGGAGAAGAAGGAGAAGGAAGAGGGGAAAGAGGAAGAAAACAATGAAGATCAAATCATCAAGTCTTTGGACGAAGGTAAGATTACTGAGATGTTTATAAAGCATGAATCCAACTTTTTGCAGCAAAATATAAAAATTAGTAGTTGTCCAATTCTGAAAATATCTTTAATCAAATTTTCAAGGGACTTTGAACAAAATCAAATTTTTGAAACTTTTTACTGTAAAATTGAATTTTGTTAAAGGGAGTGACCGGCTATGTAAGGTAGTTGAACTGAGTATGCAGTGTTGTGGAAAACTTCTTTCGGATTATTTGAGACATATTAAACTTTTAAAAGATCTGTAAATCCTGAGTTTGAACGCAAATTCGACGTTCAGAACTCCTACTTTAGGGATGGATACGTTTTCGAAATTCGTTTTTTTTTCAACTATAAAAAAACGACGACAAAAATTATAAACAAAACTCTACAGTAAATTAATTAGTTGTTTCGGAACCGGTTCAGAAAATAAAAATTAATCTTATCATCGAAAATAAGTAATCTTGTCTAATAATTAGTTTCTATTTTCTCATTATTCTAGTTCTCATTATTCAAAAAGATTTTCGCAGATTTTCTTGAATTATTATTGAAAAGACGAAATTTGAAGAATTTAAAAAAATCTGCGAATAAATTCAAAGAAAATAAGAAATTCAATATAATAATGAAAACGAAATAATTTATTGACAAATTTCTTTTGAGAAATATGTTCCTAGCCACCTAATTAGATTATTGTAAGATTTTTTACTTTATTTTTCGTCGTCTGAAAACGTATCCACCCCCAAAGTAGGAGTTTTGAACGTCGACTTTGCGCTCAAAGTCAATATTTACAGATCTTTAAAAAGTTTTATATGTCTCAAATGAATCCGAAAGAAGCTTTCCACAACACTGCATACTCAGTTCAACTACTTCGCATAGACGGTCACTCCCTTTAAGTAAGTCTTAAACATATATTACCTTTAACTATTTCTAACAACATCCATGGATGAAACATCAATGTTTTCTGTATTTATTCGTGTTCGTGGGCTTTCCCAGAAATGAGCCTGACAATAAATTGCTTTCTCAGACAATTCTTAGGGTTAAGTTCAAAAGAAAGTTTTCGAGCTTTTTTATCAACACGATTTATAAAGAACATCAGAACATTTCACAGATTCTTCTCTTTCAAACATTTACTTTATACCTGTATTAAGTTTTTTTTTGTTAAAAAGGCTTTTTTTTGTAACAACCTTTTTACATTAGTATGATCTTATCATTTTTTAAATGACAAATGCAACATGAGCTAAAAACTTTAGAATGGTGGATATCGAGATTAATGCTTAATCCTCTCTTTTTCTTAATATCGAGACTGACCTAATCTTGTACTTGTATCCTGGAAAGTGTATAAAATTCAACCAATCAGAGTCGCGAATAAGAAGCCGATAAAGAAACTGAGGTTTTGTCACAAACTCAAATTGTCTAATCCCTATATCTTTACAATCTGATGATGCAAACCTTTGATATTTCAAACTTAGATTTTTTGGTTTAACAGAATTCATAGTTTGAAATATCAAAGGTCTACGACATTGGGTAGCAAAGATATAGAGATTAGAAAAGTAGAGTTTGTGACAAAAACTCAGTTCCTTTGAAGTTTTCCCGCGCCATTTAAGGTTAATATACAAAAAACGGGAGGGACTCTCTAATTTAAAAAAACGGTTTTTGATTTTTCTCTACTATATCCAAGAAAGAACAGTTTAAGAAGAAAATCAAAAGTGTGTCCATTGGATACTCAGATTAAGTAATCGTAATTAAGGATTCTAAAGTTTTCAGCTCTGACGAAATTTTCAAATTCTTAAACTTTTTTCAATACTGTGGAGCTAAGCTTTAGTCCAACTCCAATTTTATTTCAAACTCTCATAAATATTTTAAATATTTTTATCGATGTTTAATTCTATTCTAGGTAGCTTAAAGGAGGATCATAAAAGTAACCTCCAAGTATCCCAATCTCTACCTCCTTTCTGGCATAATCAAACCACACGCTCATATCCAAGGTTGGGATTTACGTCTTAAAGGGACTGTAAACCTAATTTTAGGTGTTTTTCTTTTTAAAATTTAAATACGTTCATTTGGGGTGTCTCGTCAGAATGTTCAAAAGCTAAAATCCCCTGCTCATTGTAAATCTAAGTAACCATGCACTAAAAAAATTCAAACCAATCTATTTCAACCTTTATCTAGAAGAATCTGTTAGAGAGATCTTCTTGCTTAAATCTTAAAATTTTGTATTTTTTTCAGATTTATTTTCGCGGATTTTGTTACCAAGTCTATAACAAAGCAAAACAATATAGACAAACCATTTAGATTAGATAAAAGAAACCCGTCTCAGAGATTTATATATATAAAACAACGTCCCAATTCCTTGGATCTATATCTAGTCTGGCTGATTACACTGTTTTGCAATCGGCATTGTAAACTTTTTTATTTATAGAAAACAAAACATTAAATAAAAACATAATTTAGATATAGTAGGCAAAAGCTAAGAAGAAACATAAAGATTCCAGATTATTTTAAGATAGCGTACAGTAAACCCTAAAAAAGCCATTTAGTTTTTTTAATCAAATGTTTATATAGAGCTCTTTAAAACTGTTCCCATATATTTATGGCTATTTATTTATTTACGTAAAGTAGTATAAAACCCATTGATGACATTTCATAAATTCTTTCGCTGTATGGCTCATTCAGGGTTTAACTTTATTTAAAAATTCATACCTTTAAACTTAAGTTTAACGATTTAGAAAGTTAGATGGAACTAAATTTTTTAACAACAAAGAAAAACCTTATTTAAAAACACATGAAAGAAGAAAAGTTCAAATCATTTATTATGACAAAATTTCAAATTATACTGAGCAATGTTTTTTAACAAAAGTTTGAAATGTTTTGAAACTGATCTGTTTGTTTTAAAAGATTGATGATATTATAGTTTTGTAAATGATCCAAGATGTTTTTTCAAGTCTATAATTTTGAGAAAATTTGTTCAACATAATGAAGTTTGTGTATGTATTGTCTACATACAAAAATAAAAGCATAATATACTGTATCTTAATCAAACAATGTAATCTTTTTGATCTAATTGCTGCATGTTAACCTTTAATAGACAAAAATATATATTTATATTTCTAAATTCAATTCTTTAAATAATAAATCACAATAATTAAAAAAAGCGTTCAACGATTTGAAAAGGAACCATACACTGAGCATCGATTATAAAAAATCATAGTTTTCAATAGTTTTATAGTTTTAGTCTAAATATGAGATTATACAAATCATCCAAAGTTGAAAGCAAACTTTATAATTATATTATAGGAATTCATAGCAGAAAATTAAATATTAAATAGATCTATATTGTATAATATAAATACATTGTACAATATACAGGGCGAGCCCCCAAAAAAGTGTAATTTATAGTGTTGTCTTCTTTTTAAAACATTTTGTTTTCGTGAATATCTCATTTATGATATTTTCTTGTTTGTTTTACAAAAATCATTTTTGTAACTCACATGGCCCAAAAGAAATCCGTGAAACTTTTTTCATCAAACTAAAACAAAAATGTTATAATACATTATTTCTATCAAATACTAATATTTCATGAATATCGGGTTGACCAATTCACAGATAGTTTTATAAAAAATAAAATCCCAAACTTTATTTAAATCGATACAATGAATTGTTCAGTCGGCCATAAAATAAATGATATTATATGTTTTCTTGTTTAGGAAGAGTGGAGGAGGGAAGAAAAGTTTAACAAAGGAAGAAGCAAGACAGAAACTGATTGCTTGGCAAAAAGTTCAAATATTTCGAAGGAAAAGTGAGCGCTAGTCCGCGAGCTATTAATATCTACTTCAAGAGCTAGTCAGCGAGCTATTAATATCTACTTCAAGAGCTAGCCGCCTAGATATTAGTATGAAAGCTTATAGTTCTATGACAGTTAATATGCCAGCTACTAGTATACTTTGATAGCTAAAATACTAGCTGTTAATACTACGAGAGCTAGCCAGAGAGGTAAAAAATTATAGCTAGTATAGATAACTTCTTGTACTACGAGAACTGGCTTGTTAGCTACAAATACGTTATGAGATATCATGCTATCAACTAAAACGTTAAAAACTGGGTTTAAAAAAATAGTAATACATTCTAAAAAAATTTTCCATAGCAATCTAAAATTATGGAAGTCAATTAAACAAGTTTTGGTATTCTAATTATTAAAGTTTTTCATTTGATAAATGTGATGTACAACAAAAGGCCTGGAAAGTTTTAAATTTATGTGAAATACTTAAACAAAAAAGTTTTTATTGGATTTTTGAATATTCAAATATTCATTAGTTTATGCTTATATAGAACCCAGATTCTTTATTTTGTTATCGCATTATGTAGTAAATTCCAATGCCGCATTTTCTGTCTACTAATAGTACATGTAATCCTGGTTTAAGATTTGATCCCTGTATGAAAATGATAATTCCAACATTATGGATCATGCATGTATAGTTTTGGAGCAAGAATGAGAACCCAGTGAAAGTTGTCACCTTCCATGCAAAGATGGCAATGTCTGATTCACACTGGTACCATTAAAAGCTTTGTCAATTAATTGTCAATGAATTAGATAACTTTAAAAACTGTATGTTTTCAGTTGTGGTTTCGTGACAAAAGTGACTTTTGCATTTCTACTCCAGGACAAGTTTAAAGGTGTTTTCAAAATGTACACCTTTAAACCTAGAAAAACAACAATATCTTCCACATTATTGATGAGATACAAGTTTAAAGGGTACCTTTGTGAATTGGATCTAATCCTTCTTTCAAATAAAGATTAAAAATCTAAAATATTTCTTTCGAATGCCAAATGAAGAAAACTAAATCTGTGATAAAATTCAGCTTTTAATTCTAATCGATGTAAAGTTAATGAATGTTAAAATAGTTAAAACAATCCAAGGCAAAAAAACTTATTATTTTCCTCGATACCCTTCTAATTAACTGTAAAAAAGCTCTGCTGACATTTCCTCTTTATTCTGTTGTAAAATGTACAGTGTTTGTAAAAGAAAAAGTTGTTTTGTTTTGTTTGCCATGGATTTTAATATATTTATAAATGGGTTTTCGTAAAATAAAAGATTTTTTAATAATATTTTTTCTGAAACAATCGATAGTTTTGCTATTTTTAAAAATGTTACCAAGTTTCAAATTTTTAAATAAGAACGAACTAAAAACAAAAATTCTCCAAATTTTGAACAAAAACAATATTATAACCAATTTCAACTTTAAAAAGTGTTTTTGAGAGTTTTTCCAAAACAAAATTCTGAATTCATCAAAATCCATTTTATTTACTTATATTTGATTTTGTTATGTTAAGAATGTATGCCTTCTAAGGTCTGAAGAATCCTCGAAAATTTGCTGATTGATTGATTAATAGAGAATGTTAAAATGTCGGTGTTCTCGTCGGAAATGAGAAAACAAAAGCTTGCAGAAAGGAATAAAGATGCTTTGTTGGCATTTTCCCATATTGAACATTTACACAGTTTTCTCTCATATCATAATATTATATTAATATATCCTTTACACAGGTTTCATTTTCTCTCATATAATAATATTATATTAATATATCCTTTACACAGGTTTCATTTTCTCTCATATGATAATATTATATTAATTTATCCTTTACACAGGTTTCATTTTCTCTCATATCATAATATTTTATTAGTTTATCCTTTACACAGGTTTCATTTTCTCTCACATCATAATATTTCATTAGTTTATCCTTTACACAGGTTTCATTTTCTCTCATATGATAATATTTTATTAATTTATCCTTTACACAGGTTTCATTTTCTCTTATATCATAATATTATATTAAATTATCCTTTACACAGGTTTCATTTTCTCTCATATCATAATATTTTATTTATTTTATTCTTCACACAGGTTTCATTTTCTCTTATATCATAATATTATATTAAATTATCCTTTACACAGGTTTCATTTTCTCTTATATCATAATATTATATTAATTTATCCTTTACACAGGTTTCATTTTTTCTAATATCATAATATTATATTAATTTATCCTTTACACAGGTTTCTCTCATATCATAATATTATATTAGTTTATCCTTTACGCAGGTTTCATTTTCTCTCATATCATAATATTATAATAATTTATCCTTTATACAGGTTTCATTTTCTCTCATATCATGATTTTATATAGATTAATCCTTTACACAGGTTTCATTTTCTCTTATATCATAGTATTATATTAATTTATCCTTCACACAGGTTTGTGGGTGTAGCTAGTGCACATTAATTATTAATAGTCTAAGTTGAAATTCCAGTTAGTATTAAGTTTATTAGTCATTTTTACCTGTTAAATATAAATTTTTCGTGTAAAATTGTTAACACTTTTGTATTTTAAATTTTAAAGTAAAAGGCTTTTAGGGTGCTTCGCGCCCTTCTTCAATTTCAATTGTGAACATGTTCTCTTTGTTTACATTGTAAAACAAAAGCAAAACAAAAAATTTCTCGGATTAAAAAAATTATTTCGTGGATTTTATAAATTTTCAAAAATCCAATTTTGTTAAAGGCAAATTTTTTAAAATTCAATAATCCATAAACCTTTCCTGGGGTCACGCAAGGTCCCATCAGTTCCTCTGTTTTGATGACCAATCATAACCAAAGAGAATATAATATATTAACATATTCTCTTTGGAGCAATCACAGACAGATAATTTAAGTATAGAAAAAAGAAATATAATTTCAAACTCATTTCCCGTTTTTAATAAAAATTACTTATCTTTGAATTGTAATATTTTCAGATTTTGTAAATGTCAGGTCAAACGGTATTTTGTGATTATTAATTACAGAATTTCTGTCTGTAATCAAGTTGACGAACCAATACCGAAATTTATTTTAAAGGAAAAATACGACCTTCAAGTTGTCTCTCGGTTGTCTTGTTTCGTGGGACACCCTAAAAATAATCAAATTTTTAGAGAATAATACTTTGAACGAGGACTTTACATATCACCATGAACTTTAACACTTTTAGAAATCTTTTTTCTTCTTTTCACCATAGAATATTTTTTTAACGTCTACTTGGTAACCTATAGAGGGGCGTTAGTTGGAGCTGGACAGTTGGGACGTTAGTTAGCACTTTTGTAAATAATCCGTTTTTATGAAACGTTTTTACGTTTTAGAATTTAAAACATTGCTTATTTACTTGTCAGTATGAAACGTTACTGTAAATTTTTGTTCATTTCGAGTATCGGGCCGACTATTAACCAGCTATAGAGCAAGCAGTACAGTAAACAATACGTATACGGACTTTGTGAAGCAAACTCGGACAGTTGCACCAAATCAGCCCCTTCTAGTAAAATTCTACTGTAGACATAAAAATTAACGAAATCGACCGTCATACAAAACAAATTGTGTACGTTCATTTTCTGAAATCAACGATTATCTTCGATAGAAAACTGAAACGAATCCTTTCGTCCGTTAACGAAACTTTGCCAAGCAATAGTAGATGGAAGAAGGGGGGGGGGGTAGAGTCTAGACACTTCTCATGCAGTTTGCGTGTACAAAATCATCAACCAAGTTTATTCAAACCAAACAATTGTTAATTGAACATAACCTCGTATAAAAGAACGGGGTTGGAATGGAAGGGGGAGGTATATATGACATACCATGTCTCTGGGAGGTATATGACATAAGGGGGTGGGAGAGAAACATGGCACGGCTTTCAGTGATAAAAGGAAAAAAGAAAAAGACGTGACATGATCGGGGGGGGGGATGACATGACATGACCAAATTAAAACAAATTAAAATAGACAATATTTCTTACTCTGTAGATAAAAGTCTTTGACCGGAGAAAGGACTTTGACATATTGACTGAGGGGGATAACATCATTACATTACAATTTGTAACCTCGTAGCTCCTGTAGTTTTGATTTTTCACCCAAGTGTGAAAACCACAAAATTATTTTGTTACAGGTTAAAATTCAAAACGTTTTAGTTTTTCTCAATAGCTCTTCAACTATATAGAGGAGAGTTATGATTTAAAACATTTAGGATTTAGATCTTAGCTTAGGTGCAATTTATTTCAGTTTAACTTAAAACCCATTGATTAATTAACCAGGCCCGTAACCAGGATTTTACCAAGGGGGGTGCAAAGATGGGTGTTGTAGTAGAGGCGTAGGAACACCGAGTAAAACGGAGTGAACGAGGCGGGGGGATGCAAATGGGGCAGAGCCCCCTTGCATAGAAAGTTTTCAGAATTTTGGTATTAAATTAAGTAATTTTAGCTTGAATTCTATGTTACGTAGGAAATTTTCAAGTTTGTCACAACACTATAGTAATTTTAGCTTAAAGAGAAAATTCAGTTTTACCTGAATCGGATGTTTTGTATGATATGGTACAAGGAAAATTTTAATAACTTAGTTTTAGTTCAAATTTTGCAATAATGGAGAACAGAATATATTGTTAAATTTTGATATTTCAAGTTACTACTCACGTTCACTGATTTTAAACTGCTGCACAAAATATTGAAACTGGGGCAATGAGTTTCTGAAAAAGTAAATAATTGAATTTTATTATACATACTGGAACATGTATATCTTCATATGCAAACGATCAACAAACCAGTTCGATTAGAAAATCTTACCTATGGACAAATATTTTTCAAAGAAGGGTTTAATTTGGTTGGTCCGAGGGAACAACTTTAGTAAAGGAATAGTATAACACAATAGGAGCGGGGGAAGGCACACCACACCATTTTTTCGTCCACACTACAAATGACGTCACAACTCACCATTATTTCTTCTGATCACACCTTTTTTCGTCCGAGCGTTGCTTCTGTGTTTTCAAATGTATTATTTTATGCCTTTTAACATCTTTTTTTAATTTTGGCAACGTCATGTTATTCAATATGGCTCATTTGTATTTTAAGTGCATTATGTTAAAAAAATAGATGTTTAAAGGGACAGACCGGCTATGTATGGTAGTTAAACTGAGTATGTAGTGTTGTGGACAAATTCTTTAGGATTAATTTAAGACATATAGAACTTTTTAAAGATCTGTAAATCCTGAATTTGAGCGCAAAGTTGACGTTCAAATTCGTCTTTTTCGGTGGATACGTTTTCAGAATTGTTTTTATTTTAATTAAGTAATCTTGTTCAATTATTAGTTTCTATTTTCTCATTATTCTAGTTTCTCGTTATTCACAAAGATTTTCTTGAATTATTATTGAAAATTCGACATTTGTACATTTGTAGAAATCTGCGAAAAAATTTATAGAAAATAAGAAATTAAATATAATGATGAAACGAAATAACTGATTCTAGCATTGATTTATTGGCAAATTTCCTTTGAGAAATATGTTCCTAATTAGTTTATTCTATAATTTTACTTTTTTTTCGTCGTCGTTATTTAATAAAAAACGATTCTGAAAACGTATCCACCCAAATTCATGATTTTAAACGTCGACCGGCTATGTAAGGTAGCTGAACTGCATACTCAGTGAAGCTATAACCTTACATAGCCGGTCTGTCCCTTTAAGCCTAATTTAGCAAAGAAAGTAAAATGTGTGTACCACATCACATCTATTTTTCGTCCGGACCACACCTTTATTTCGTCCGGAAATGATGTTTTCTTATTTTACTCCTAAATTGCAACTTTTAGGTAATTGTGCACTGGGACTTTTAGGATCTACGACAAAAAATTAACATGTTTTAGTAGGGAACATAAAAATTAGTTTTGATTTGCTTGAGGGTTTGTAAAACAAAGATTTGCATGAATTGTTTTATGCCTAGCTGTACCTTCTAAAGATGTTCAAGATAAAATAGTTTAAACCATTTTCAACATCATGACGTGGCCTAAAATTCCAATATAATAATTTAAAGTACTTTAAAAAACAATCCCAATAAACCGACCGATGGCGAAGATGTCGATCGGGTAAATAATTCTGGACTTTAAATGTTCGCCATCGGTTTGTCGGAGATTAAATGTTTGCAGGAATGCCGTACGAAGAAAAGGTGTGGTCGGAAGAAATAATTTGTGGTTGAACGAATTAGTGCCTTTCATCCCTCACAAGTCACAATACAGTATTCAGGATTATAAAAAATTTAGAAAACTTTGAATGCTAATATTTCAATTTTTCAAGAGAAGATTTTACCAAACAACTTATCTAAAAAATGGGGGGGGGTGTAAATTCGTCATTTCACCCTCCTTTAAAGAGAAAGGGGGGTGCACCTGTCCCCTTGCAGACCCTCCATGGTTAAGGGCCTCTGTGATTAACTAGATATCGTCTATTTAAGATTTAGGGTTTTTTTCGCTCTCAATAACTCTCAGGCTCCCAAGGGAGTTACGCGCATGCTCTTTTTCTGTCTTGTCATTCAACGCAGCATGCGCGTAACTCCTTTGGGCTTCTAACAAACTCTAAATCTTGAAAAGACGACATCTAGTGTCCTATCTGTTATTGTTAATTAACCTATGGTAAAACCCCACTAGTAAGGTGCTGTAACATAAAAATGTAATGTAATGTTAGTTTTGATGATATATGTACAATTGAACAAATTTCTGTATTTTTGTTTATAAAGATTGCAATTGTAATTAATCTGATTGATATTTAATTAGATAATTAATCAATTACGCTGAGGTTCTGGACAAACTTTGCAGACGACAACCAGACATACATATATGTATATATAGACAACCAGACATATATATATGTATATATACACCAACATTTATAGATGTGTATAGACAACAGACATTTATAAATACTTATAGACAACCAGACATTTCCCTAAGTTAAAGATTCAGCCTGATTATATACAGTCTCATCAATTTTTAAAAATAGGGTCAACTTTGAACCAGACATTTATATACAGGGTTACCAACAAAAGATGAGACGGATAGACGACATGGAACTCTAATTAAGTCTTCTGCCTTGAATATAGTCTTTTTGGCCTTTTTTATTGATTGGGCAAAGAAAGAAACAAGTTTATAGTTTCAGGTAATCATGAATATAAGAAAAACAGACAGTGTAAATTCCGTACAGTCGTCTCTGAAGTCTCAACCTTTTTGGGTAACCCTGTATTTTTATAGACAACAGACATCCTATATGTTTAACAGACAATCGGACATCTAAATACACGTTCAAAATCTAGGAAATAATTCCGATCGACAAGAGGTCTGAAGGATGAAGTACAAAAAATGAGGAAATGACAGTGACATTTTGGCTTTTGGCTTTTTATAATAAATTATGGTTCAATCAAAAACCAAATTGTATGCCCCTCTCCTTAATTAAGGAATACAAGGGAGATACAAATGACGCAGCCTGATTATACATGCTTTGCAGCAAGAATGTAATGCAAGGAATGTTAATTGCAGTTGCGTATACTCTGCGTACATATTGAAACCAGTTCTATCTGGGCAGAATTTGTAAACAAGAATAGATGCCTTAGTGTTCGTTAAGTATCCGAGGAGGTTAAAAGCATTGAATTTTGATAATTTTGATAATTCACATAATAGTTTCCTATGACCAGAATATTTCATTGATTATTTATGTGAAAGATGGATCCCATGTCAGCCTTCGACATCCGTCTTGTGTTTACATTACCGCCCAGTGACAGTACACTGCAGTAAAAAAGATGCGCACACCTCTGAAATAACTTTCCTTGCATTAAATCCTTGGTTTGCAGACGGTACTCCAGGCTGGTTCTAGAGAGCTAAATACAACTCTTAACAAATCCTGCTTGGTGGTATTGAGGGTAGAATACGTAGATCATCTACCTTACCCGTTCTTTAGAAGTCTAAATACTGGTATACAGTGAAACCCTTAATAACGAATACATCGGAAAAATTTATCAAATGTCGTCTTGACAATTTTTTAATGAGTTTTATACTATATTACGGAAATTTCAGTATTTGCGAAAATAAATAAATAGCTATGAATATGCGGGAACAAATTTAAGGAGTTCCATATAATCATTTAATTTAAAAAACTAAATATCTGCAACATTCCATTATCAGAAAGTGAAGAATACGACATTTGATGAATTCTTTCGATGTATTCGTTATTAACGGTTTCACTGTATCATGCTTGATACCGGTATTACAAAGAGTGGTGTTAATACTGGTATCATGATTGATACCAGTATAATGATAGATGATCTACCCTTAATACCACCAAGCAGGATTTGTAAAGAGTGGTATCTAGCTCTCTAGAACCAGGCTTCTGTACAAATTAATTGTACATGTGTACTCTAACAAACAAGTGTTAGCATTATCAATATTACAGCTGAATTTCAAAACAACATTTTTAAATCAAATTTAAAGAAAAGTTTTACAGATAGTTATTTTCAGTACAATGGCGGACAATTTTGATATTCAAATTCGGCAAAAGGTAACCCATTGTTTGCTGCATCGTTAAAATCACAAAATCAAAAGTTTTTGATCATTGAAGGATGATTTTTTTTAAATTTTAGCCTGGTTTACGCATACTGAGCTCCCTGGCACGGCGGATGTCAGGCGGAGTAGAGCATCAGCACCTAGAAGAGGCGGAGGATGAGTTTGGGTCGGGCAGAGGATTTGAAACTTTGTCCGCCTCTACACCAAACCATAGTGATGGTAATAGAGAAATCGATTCTGAATTGAGACCAGGTAAATCAGATTTGGAAGATATTAAGAAGAAGGGGGGGGGGTCACTATCCACCATTTCTCACTAATTCTTCAGTCAGAGAACTGTGGATCACAACAGAACTCACCGAAAGCTTAGTTTAGGGTTGGACGGGGTCAAATAAGGAGGCAAATAAGGAACAGATTACAGTTGATGTAAGGGAGGTGGTGCAAATATAGGTTATCATTGCGGTATTGTTATAAACACTCAAAATATTCTTCTTAAAAGGATTTGATTTGGTAAAAATGTCTTATTTAGCTAAAAGGCTTAATTTTAGTATTTACGTTGAGATATTCAAATGGAACGATGCCTAAACCAAAAGGTTTAAAGCTTGAGATCAATTAGTTCATTAAAGATATATCGTTTAAGAAGTGCAAAAAACGCACAATTTTCAGAAAGGAGAACATAGTCTAGCTTTTAAAGGGACTATGAACGTAATTCCAATTAATAGAGTGACAGGGTCAGTTAATAACGGTACCCTTAAAAGCTTTGTTTGATCATGTAATGTATTAAATGTTTTTGTCTTTGAAAACTGATTAGTTTTATTTGTGGTTTCACTACTTAAGTGACAAAAATAAAATTAGAACAGACACACTTGTGAAGCCAGCAAAACGACTTTATCTTTCACATAATTAATCAGATTAAGGTTTTAAGGGTACCATCGTAAATTCAGTTCCTTAAAGGGATTTTCATAAATGTATATTCTATTATCTAGATGTGAATCCAGCTGGTGGTAATATAACACCTAGAATACCCTGGAAGCGTTTAAACCCCTTGAAGATGCTCGCAGATCTTAGCTTTAACAGAGAGGAGGAACAGCTTCAACCTGAAGACGAGCAGTTAGGGCTGGAGATGCTAAGTAAGAAACAGTTTGAAGAAAAAATACAAACTCTGCAATCTTCTCTACCCGATGTCAAATTTACCGGTCAACAAGACCCAATTGTCCGGTTACAGTTGGATGATATCACAAAAGGTTGGTGAAAAAAACAAAACTTTTTTTAATATTATTGATTCTTACAGGACAGGACAGGACAGGACAGGACAGGACACTACAGTGAATTGTTTTTGGCGAATGTCTAAAAACAATATATTTTGTACATTTTAGCGGAGATTTATCATCCTATCAGATATTCGTAAAAAGCATGTTATACCAAAAGATTGATTACAAAATTTACCAAAGTTATATTGAATATATTTTATTGATACATTGCATGTAAAATAATATTAACCTGACTTTTTATTGCTCCACGATTTTATCGTTTACAGTAAAATAACAACAAATAGAAATACAATTAAAAGTTTAAACTTTTTGCTGGCGCACAAACTCTTAAGATTTAGGATTTTTTTACTTTTTATAATGCTTATTCCTTAGTATCAATCTATTATTATCAAAGATGACTGACATATCCTTGTTTTTATATCTTAAAATTCCCAGTTTCATTGGTGGTTTCTCAGGGAAAGTGACTTAACAACTTACTTAATTGTAATTGAGTTGTAAAAGTCTTAAATCTTCAATTTAGAAAAATGACTCATGAAATTATGTCTATTGCTCTTTTAAATCAAGAACTTAAATTTAGTTGAATTTAATGATCCTGACGAAATGCTTTTTATTCATCTTTAACATTTTTTTTGCAGATTTAAAGACGAAAAGATATTTTCCACAAATGAAATTGGGAAGTTTTTGCCACAGAGATGTGTTTTCAATGTTATTTCAATCATTCTGAGACATAATGACTAAAATCTCATCGGTCCTATAATCTATATTTTAGAATTAAACCATTTTCTCTAATCTAGATATCCTTCTAATAAGATAAAGGGGGCAATATTATTGTTTAAAGAACAAATTAAGTTATTCAATTATTCTAGATAAAATTGAGGAAAAGAATAACAATGGGGAAAAAAGAGGAAGTAAGCCAGGTAATGTAAAATTTTCACGACTGTGCGTTAAAGTCTAAATGTGAGTTTTTCGTTAAAACTTTAATGATATTTTTCCATATCAAATATGTACAAGTATGAACAAGAAAAAGGAACCAATGATATTTTTTAATCCTTTCTTTTACTTTTAACCAATAAACATGAGAAATGAGTGGAAAATTAAAAATTGTCTTTGTAAAGGATATTTTATTCTGTTTTTTGAAGCATGAATAAGAAATCAAAACTTAAATAGTAAAGTCGTCTTCATTGAATCGATATAAACACCGACCACTGTGAAACAAGGAAACAGTAAACTGTAGACTGTATTTCGCAGCTGATAGACTCAATTTGTTTGTTTATGTTTTGATTTCATAATGTAAACAAGTGTAGTTCTTCTGTTACTGTCTGGGGTCTCTGACGAAAATCTAGGTGTCTCCAATGAAAATCTGGGGGTCTCTAATGAAAATCTGGGGGTCTCCAATGAAAATCTAGGGTCTCAAATTAAAGATGGGGGTCTCCGATAAAAATAATGGGGGTTCCATTGAAAAATTAAAGCTTGGGGGTCTCTAACGAAAATCTGGGGGTCTCCGCTTAAAGGGGGTGTCTGATGAAAGTCCTTAAAGGGGGTGTCTGATGAAAGTCCGTAAAGGGGGTGTCTGATGAAAGTCCTTATATAATGATGATTTCTTTCCGGACTCCCTCTTCACTGTTAATCTAATTCTTGTAGAATAATGTAGAAACTACAGTTTATATCTTTTGAAAATGTGTAAATTACGACGCTTAGTTATGACTAAGACGTCAAGCAATTCCCATGTTTATTGGGACTCTCTGCATAGTTTTCTCTATTCTTCTTTAGGTATTGGGGCCATTCTTGAATATAAAAATACCGCAAAACAATTTGGTAAATATTTATATATTGAAATATTTCCTGCTGAAATTGTATTTCTAGGTTTTCTACAAGTTAAAAGAAAACTACTTCTATCACATTTTCAGAATAAATATATTCTATCAAAATATTTTCTTTCTAAGTTTTATATTGGTATTATACCCTAAAGTTGATTCAGAAATCTATTCTAAATAATGTTTACTGGAATTCTTAAGTTCAGGAACTGTGCAAGAAAACAATAAAAAAAATGTTGACACATAAATCATAAACTCAGCTAGTCTAACAGCTAGTCTAACAGCTAGTCTAACAGCTAGTCTAACAGCTAGTCTAACAGCTAGTCTAACAGCTAGTCTATCAGCTAGTCTAACAGCTAGTCTAACAGCTAGTCTAACAGCTAGTCTAACAGCTAGTCTAACAGCCTCTTTTGCTACAGGATGTCCCAAAAGATTGAAATTCAAGGGACACTTTTTGATTTCTAGTAAATAAGACAAAAATGAATCATCCCTTTTTCGCGACTGAACAGATCTCAAAGAATAATTTCTAATCTTGTCATCTAACAACAACAATTGTTTATTTTTATCAGTGCATTTTTTATTGATTTTAATGGTTATTTTTTTCTAGTTGGATTTAGAATTGTGACAATTTCTCTTTTTTTTCTTGCAAGGGTACCGTTGTGAATCGGGCTTTGTCATTTTTGCATAGTGGGTCACTTTAAAATACGCTTACAGTTCATTTAACTGAAAACTTACTTTAGTTCAATGTTTAGGAAACATGGATGATGAGGATTAGGATGATGATTGGATAAATGTGAACTATGTTTAGGAAACATGGAGGATGAGGATTAGGATGATGATTGGATAAATGTGAACTATGTTTAGGAAAATTAGGATGATGATTGGATAAATGTGAACTATGTTTAGGAAACATGGAAGATTAGGATGATGATTGGATAAATGTGAACTATGTTTAGGAAACATAGAGGATGAGGATTAGGATGATGATTGGATAAATGTGAACCATGTTTAGGAAACATGGAGGATTAGGATGACTATTGGATAAATGTGAACTATGTTTAGGAAACATGAAGGATGAGGATGATGATTGGATAAATGTGAACTATGTTTAGGAAACATAGAGGAAGAGGATGAGGATGATGATTGGATAAATGTGAACTATGTTTAGGAAACATGGAGGATGAGGATGATGATTGGATAAATGTGAACTATGTTTAGGAAACATGGAGGATGAGGATGAGGATGAGGATTGGATAAATGTGAACTCTGATGATGTTCCCTCTGAAGAATGTTGGATGAACAAGGACAAGCTTGAAGAAAAGAATCAAGAAGGTTCTGATGATGAAGTTGATGATGATCTGCTTGTTGCGACCATTCAAATACAACCTGGATCCACTCCATCAGCTGCTAGGTAATCATTTCCCTTTGTAAACCTTCTCATAGGTAAATGTTTCTTTTGTAAACCTTTTCATTTGCAAACATTCTCAATTATAAACCCTCTCATTGCTAAACCTTGTCATTTGTAAGGCCATCTTTTCTAACATAAATATGAAAGTTGTCTTCATATAATCGCCGACCACTGTATTGCATATATTCACACAAACTAAGTTTATAATCCCTTTAGCTTTGCAACCTGATGCTCTATACGTTTAATATTTCAAACTTAGATTACATTTGATCTCACAAAATTCATAGTTTGAAATTTATAAGATTTAGGGATAAAACATCTGGGTTTGTGGCAACAACTCAATTCATTTTTGTCTTCGCATTAATTTTACAAGTAAAAGGTTTTAAAAAAAATTAATTATAACTTTTATTCAGGTATTACTCAAGAATGACAAAAAGGGAACTGGGTCGTAAGTTCAAGAATATATCGCTCCCAGTCCGACATTGAATATTATTTTTACAACTGCAAACTTGATCAAGTTATGTATAATTATGTATAACGTAACTTTATTTTTCTGTGATGACCTTCATTATAAGATGTTTTTAAAGCTTAAAATTTGTTTCCTGCAATTTAATAAAAAATGATTTCACCATAAAATAACTAAAAGTTGTTTCCAATTCTAATTTTATTGGATCCTCCTATTTTCCTGATATAGGGTTCTGCACAAGTAATGAGACTTAAGAGTCGATTTTGCAGCATCTATTTTTTACACACTTTGGCAAAGCTTTTGTTGTTGAAAAGAATGAGTAAGATATTGGATGATTTGGCCATACATTGCAATGTAAACAAACTTCTTCGCTCTCACGTGAAACTAAAACATAATTTTTTTTCATTCCTTGAATGATTATAAGCAGTCGAGTATAGAATATGTTATTTCTAATCCTAATACATGGAGTGTTTCAAAAAATGGTCCGTTGAAAAATCGAATAACGTCAAAATAGCTGTGAGATAAAAATTTTGTATTATCGTAAAAAATGAACATAATAAAACTAGGTTAGATTTAAGAAACGCATATTTGACGGAAATAGCTTAAAACAAAAAAATATAATTGCAATTTTAGTTTTTTAGTTATTGAAAGTGCCAAACTGACTAGTAGGGAACCAGAGTAAGTTGTACAATACGTATAGTACTTGCATAATTACGAATTCTCACCAATCTAGGGAGACAAATGTGCGCTAACTCTTTTTTAACCAAGGATTTATTGATTTATTTGTATACCAATAAACATGGATTCTAAGTAAAAGACTGAGTTTTTTTTATTTAAAAGTTCGTTTGCTAATGTTTTGAGTGCGTATCTTTGAACCGAAGATAGAAGAGAAAATATTTTTAAACCAGGAAAAATGTTTCTGCAAGAAGAAGATCAGAGAGAGGGCCGCAATCTTAAGACAGTATTATACAACCTGGCTTTCATCTAAAACGTGATAATATAAGTTAATAAGTACTCCATTTGTATATGAAATGTTCAGAATAGGTTATTGTATACGCAGTAAATGTACATCAGACAAATACTTCTTATACAAATGAAGTACCGTCTGCAAAGCATGTATAATCATATGGTAGGGCGAACCGCGTCAGTTATATCTCCCTTCTATTCCTTACTCCCTGGTTTGTATCCAATAATTGTAAAAACGACTGAACCGGGCAGGCCCAATATTTTGTCTCCCAAAATTTGATTTTGTAAAGTTTGAAAAACCCTATAACTTTTTTATGTTTTATTTTGGAGTATTCAAAGAGAAACAATTAAAAGTTGAAATAGAAGATCATAAGAATTTTCTGGACCTTCGTTCTTTTTCCATCTCATAGAATTTAAGTTTAAGGTTTTTTAGTTTTTCATTTTCAAAAATGAGTTTTACTATCTTTACAGTTTAAATACTAACATAAGAATATAATAAAATGTCGATTTTTTAAAAACATGTTTTTTTCTGCTAGTTTTGTTTGAAGGAGAAAAAAAGTAGTACTTGCAAGGTAATTGGACTGTATCATACTTCTGCCTGATATCCAAGAAGTCAATTTTGAATATTTACAGTTAAAATTTTGCCCCCTCCTAGATTTATTCCTGTATAAATCCAATTGTTCCAGGGGACAAATAACTATCCTTATTTACGTTCCAGGGGGAGAGGGGGGGGGGGGAATCATCGGAAAAAATAGTTTTCCCTTTTTAACCCCCCCTGAATCGAATTTAGCGTGCGACAAACTTACAATGTTTAATGTTTACACTGTGTACACAGGGGGCGGAAACGTAATGCATGTTTGTGTGTAAGTGATAACGAACCGAAAGCGTGTACTGTAGGTAGGCCCGTAGCCAGGGGGGTGCAGGTAGGCAGGTGCACCCCCTTTGTTCTGAAAGGGGGGTGCAATGACAAAGAAATTGTTTGTAATAATTTTCTAATAACTAGTTAACAATTATATAGCCCCAGTCAAGAATGTAAGGCAAGGAAAGTCAAGTGCGGTTGTGTATATACTCTGTGTACATATTGAAACCAGTTCTCTCTGGGCGGAATTTGTAAACATCAGTGTTCGTTTAGTATCCGAGGAGGTTAAAAGCATTAAATTTTGATAATTTTGATAATTCACATAATAGTTTCCTATGAACAGAATATTTCATTGATTTTTTATGTGAATGATGGATCCCATGTCAGGCTTCGACATCCGTCTTGTGTTTACATTAGCGCCCAGAGACAGTACACTGCAGTACTAAAGATGTGTACACTTCTGAAATGACTTTCCTTGCCTTACATCCTTGGCCCCAGTAAGAATTGATTCCCTTCCCAAACCAAATTATAATCTATTTTAAGTCCAAGTAGAAGAGTTCTTTTTGAGTACTCAAAAATTCACTAAGAATGTCTGCATGTCTCAATGTCAATAAATAAACTCTTTTAAACAAAATATTAGAAATTAGTATTATTTTTTATTCATCTTAATATTATCATGATAAGGCCGAGGGACAAGAAGCATTGCAATTTTAAATAATGATTTTTTTCCTGAAGCTAAAGTAACATTCACAATTATTTTGTTATGTATATTGTATACGTAAATTTAAAAAGTTTCAGACACTAACATGTAACCCTTAAAGACTCAAATAAAAACCAAGCATTGATTAAAAAAAATGCTCACCTGCGGCGGGCCTTTTTACACCCCCCCCCCTGGAAATATCCTGGCTACGGGCCTGACAGTACAGTAGGTATATACAGTACATAAGAATCTCGGTATTTGTAGTCTAGGAGAGTGCAATTGTTTATTGTTAATTGTAATGACTTGAAAATAAGTTTAATATACACGTAATATATTATTTTATATAATTATAAGTCAACACTATGAGCCAAATTTTCATGCAAAGGATATAATTTGATTAAAGTTTACAATACACTACTCGTTATTCAAGCTTAATTATAATTGACGACATTGTTCTGCAACTTCCTTGATTGTAGTTATGTTGTTGTGTTTGTACCAAAAGAATGTGCGTGTGCGATAAAGAACTCGTCTGCAAAGCAGTGTGACTGACTTCCTCATGCCAGACCAGCGTCATTTCCCTTCCCTTTATTTTTTTTCCCTGACTGTACAGTGTACATTTGTTCACTGTTTACGGAAACATTTAGTACAAATGTACAGTGTACACAGTACACAATAGGCAGTGTCAGTGAGTATATATTGTTTACTGATTAGTGATTATTATAAAAAGTTGGTCAACAATTTTTAGTCAACAATTAAGTTAAAATATAAATGTCGGGATTTCTTCATCTAAATAAAATTAATTAAAATCAAAGTTAATGGTTTCTAATTTGATAACTGTTGTGCAGACTGCAGACCGATATTATTTTTAAATAATATATTTGACAATTTGTTTTAGATTTTTAATTTTTAGGCGAAAATGGTGAAAGTTAAAGAAGTTCAGGGAACGGGGTGAGTTGTTTAGTTTAAAATATATATAAAAAAATTAAATGCGTCTTTAATTGTGTTGGTCGACTTGGAAGATGGGATAAGATCATAAGGGTCATGCTCAGGCGCGCAACTAGACATTTTGTTAAGAATAGATTTAACCTCATTCAGAATAGATTTAACCTCATTCAGATTCAGAATAGATTTTAGGACAAAGTCTTCACCTTTATTCAATTAATAATTTACTTTATCATTAAGTAGTTAATGTTTTCAGCCCCCTTCCCCTCCCCCCACAAAAGACAAAATTTGCTTAAACTTTAAATTGTTATATTGCTATTCCTAAAATTTTGATCAAGCTATTCTGAATTTTCCAGGAGACCATTGTTATTGATCCCTTCTTTTCAGATTGCTTTTGAAACATTCCTCTGATTAAATTATAAGCTGAATGAACTAACGTTCAATCATCTTATTTTTTATTTTACGATCAGAGCCCTTAAATTTGCTCAGGGTCAAGATTCATGACTTCTTGCCCCCCACCCCCTACAGGGGGGGCATGCCTCCCTTAATCAGGCTATGAAGGGGCCTTGCCCCCCTTGCCCCCCCCCCTATTTGCGCGCCTGGTCATTCATGCTTTTTATGTATAACTTGTGGTGAAATGGTTAAAAATTTTAGGGGAGGTGATTCCATGCAAGAAAGGTGTCCCCAATCCCCATGCAATACATCGGCACTCGGCAGAGGTTTTATTCTATGTATATAGCCATACAACATTAAAGTACCATTGGAAGTTTAAAGGAGTACTCAGAGTTGCCGATTCAATTAGAGACTTTAATTGCCCTGGAATTGTCCATACTGTTCTGTGCAGAGCGCTTATTCCTCCTTCAGCCTGGTTATTTTTATATTCTAAACCGTCCAAAATATAAAAAGATAATCTGAGATAAAAGTCACATATCCCATGGTTACATATTTCGACGCTATGCTTTTATATAAGATGTAACTAGATCAAAAACGACAATTTTTGGTATATATAAAGTAGAGAAATTTAAAAGATTTATTTTTACAGATCTCGGAATGGACCCAGCCTACGTGGTGTTACTAAACCCAGAGACCAAGGTAAAAATATTACAAGTGGATAATTCAATTTGGAATTCTGAGGGGTCACATCTCATTTTTGGGGGTAATTTTATAATTAATTGCAAAAACAGAAAACAAGAAATTCTAAATTTTAAACATTTTCCTCCATATGCTAGTATCATTTAAGAACTCCCCAAGTGCTTACAATTGATAATACTAATAACGTGTGTTAAAATTCAAATTTTACGTAAAATGAGGCGAGTGAGAGAAACAGTAATATAAAAAATAATAATGATCTTTAAATTATTTTACGAAAATTGACATAATGTTAAAACTTTTTAACGAATTTAGGTGATATTTTAGTGTGTGGTAAGTGGTAGCAATTTAAATGCATAATTCAACTTTGACATTTTTTTAGAACGATACAATACAATTCTTAAGATAGTAAACTTCGTAATTTCTATTGCTCAAAAAAATTTGGAAAATAAAAAAGGTAAAGTTAAAACTTGAACATTGAAGACGACCTATAGAAGTAGACCTACTCGGAGATTACTACTTGAACTATATGTTAAAAGATGATACAGAACTAAAGAGTTTTCATTTCAAATTTTGCTAATAACTTTTTAGTAAAAAAATTATATGTTTTTGGAGGAGAACAATTATCTAAAAAAAAGGTTGAAGCTTGCAAACGAATCGTGTTTACATTTTTCATATCATCCCTCCCCCACTCCCCGACTCAAATTCTTGAAAATTTGCACCCTTGAATTACATTATTACATATTCATAAATGCGTCATTTTATTTGAATAAGTTGACCGCTGAGTCCTCGTGCTGGGTTAGATTTCTCAGTTTACATATTGTTTAAACTTCATAAGATTAAGAGAGGGGGGGGGGGCAAGTTAAAGTCAGTGTGTAACGCCTGATTAATCATATATTTTCAGTTTTTTTTTTCAATCCCTTTTGACATATCTGAGTGAACTAAAAAAATAAAATAATAGCATATATTCATTTAAAAAAACTAAATTCTGCACCTGAATCTTCTTAGTCTTTTCATAGTCATTGATTTATTCTTTTATTTCATTTATTCAAAGATGTTAAAATGTTAACAAATTAATAAATGGTTTAAAGTTTGCCTGAAACGATTGAATCGAGCAATTTACTTCCTATCAATTGTTCTAAAAAGATTGTTTACCAAATCTTTGTAGCAGAAATTTTCCACAACTTTTCACTCCAGAGAAATAAGCTAGCTGTTTACAATCTAATTTCTTTCTTACAATGTTATTTAACCCTAAACAAGCTGGGGGTGGGCGTTTGGCGCCCCCCCCGTAGTTTTTTTTATCCTAGCACTCTCATTTTTGAGTTTGACACCGTGAAATTTTGTGACTATTAATGAAAAGTAATTTAAAGGATTTTTTGTTTAAATATATTTTTTATAATTTATAGGGTGGGGTAAAGGGCGAAAAAAAAGTCCGGTCTGTGAAAAAAAAAACCTAAAATAGCCCATACTTTTTTTGTGACTAAAGCTACATTTCTAAAAACTATATTTTTGAAAAGGCATTGAAAAATTTATGTAGAAACATGTGTCACATTTGATTAAAACCAAAATATTGACCATTTTTTAGGCATTTTTTTCCACCCTCCATAGCTCTCAAATCATTTGAGTTATCGGTGTAATGAAAACTAGGGCTATGAACATGCATTTCAACCCTATACCTATTTCAAGGGGGGGGGGCGCCAAACGCCCCCCCCCCAGACTATGCATAGATGCATTTATAGGGTTAACACTCATTTTCCAAAATCTTATAGGAACGTCGAAAAGACTGCACCTATGTCCTTTTCTTATCTATAAATAAATTTAAGAGTACGTGAAAAATTGACGACTCAGAAGACAATAGTTTAAAGCTAAGTTTGTTGATACAAAAGTTCAATTTTACTTGAAAATGCTTCTTATTTTTATTGATGAACAAAAACATTTGACGAAAACTAAATTGCAGAATTCTTTTCATGTGTTTTATCTCCAAAGAAATAAAGTTTTGACAAATTCTATTTTTCTGATAATTTCTTAGGAGACGGTTGGTTTAAAATGCCGCTTCGTTTGCACACCGAGAATACCAAACCAAATATAGTAACGTACATCCATCTTGGAGAGGCGGGCAAAGACGACTTTCAAAACTATGTCGAAGGAAAAGAGGAAATACAGTTACAGGTAAAATATAATTAATTATGCATAGCATTCCAATGTCCTAGACCTTACATATACTTCAAACTATTATTACTATAATGTCGTCTTCCTATTCCATAGTTTCATGGTTCTCACAGTAGGAGATAAAGGAATTGTATACAATCTTGTTTCTAGGTGTATGATGAAGAGGATATACCGGATATGGATATACAAGATAAAGGGATTATATACTATCTTGTATCCAGGTGTATGTTGAATAGGATATACTGGATATGGATATATAAGATAAAGGGATTATATACTATCTTGTATCCAGGTGTATGATGAAGAGGATATACTGGATATGGATATACTAGATAAAGGGATTATACTATCTTGTATCCAGGTGTATGATGAAGAAGATTTACCGGATATGGATATTAGAGATATTTTAAATGGATTGGATCACACAGGAACAGCTTCAGATTTCTCAGATGAATCACACAGGTGGTTTTATATAATTTTTATCATTTAAAACATTATAAAGATTTTTTAGGGACCTTTGTTGTAATTTTAAGTTAGCTTCCATTTAAAGAGGGCATCTCCAACTTACAAAAATACCTTTAAATCCTCTATCTGATGAATAATGTGGAAGATATCGTCGTATTTCTAGCTTGAAAAGTTTTACATTTTGACAACATCCTGCATTTTAGAAGAACTCCACAAGATTGTGTATAGAGAAACCCCACTTGAAAAATGAAACTTATTATAATGAGAAAATGATGAACAATATATGCAATATGCATTCTTTATGCATTATTATTTATTGTTAAAACTTTTTAATTGTCCTGTTGTGAATTGAACATGCAAATGAGCAGTCTTTAAATTACGTTTATGTGTATCAAATTTTTATTTTTAAATCCTTTTTTAGAATTCGCCCTTTTTATATAAATTCGTATCTACATATTTTACAACGCATTTTAATGAGATAATTATTATTTTTAACATTCACTCTTAAAGAGTAAAACCCCAATTAGTTTGAGGGTCACTTAGAATAAGGTTTACAGTCCCTTTAAAGTTATGAATTGAGAACATTTTCTTGAGAAATTATTAAAAATAAAAAAAAACTTTTTCATCAAATGCAAAAATATAATATTAATGAGAGTTTGTGACAGATGCAGCCGAGTATGCCCAGTAGGCTGTCAGGGACATCTTAGACCTAATGAGGTATAAAATAGTTATTTTTTCTTTTTTATTTTTTAGTTAGTTCGTTATTAAAGGGAGTGTTCACTGCAATTTTCAAGGATTTCAGTTTTCAGTTTTAGCCGAGTTCTAAAATTCGTTACAGATACCCCCCCCCCTTAGTATCTGGATCATCTGTAAAATAAAATTAAAATATAGATAAAGCTGCTTGATAAGAAACTTTTCCACATCAATTAGAGCGAAAACATTGTTGGGGTTTAACGGAAACTTGTAAAATACGAAGAGATATTCATGAAATGAATATGCACCAATTTCATTTTTTACAGAACGTAACCTTTTATTTCTATAAAGTAGAATTATCACAATATTATAACAATATGTTATAAATTACCATTAGAAGAAATTAGAAACCAAAATTTTTGTCGTAAGGTATCTTGTTATAAAAATGGATTAAAACTGAATAATCTATTTTTGCAACGGTGAAAGTATCAGAAAATATATTAATCCTGTTTTTCAAAATTAAATTAGGAAAGAAAAATCTATAACGGATCATCAGCAGATAATTTTTTAATTTTTTTGAAATGAAAGAGAATAAATATGTTATATGTTTTATCAAAATATGAAAACAAAATTTTTGCAAAAGTTTTAAGTTCTCGAAATGCTCAAACTTTAATGGAAGTTTTACAATGAATCGTAAAACTATGGGTATTCTATTTCTGAAATAAAATCCTTGGAATGAAAGTATGTACTATGTAGGCTGAATATAAATATGTGAAAAAAAACTTTCAACACGAACCCACATTATTTTTAAGGGACTACTATAGAAATATTTTCAAGGGACTACTATAGAATATATTTTCAAGGGACTACTATAGAAATATTTTCAAGGGACTACTATAGAAATATTTTCAAGGGACTACTATAGAAATATTTTCAATCTGAAGTTTAAATAGTTTGCGTTTTCCATTATCTATTGAAGAACCGCTAATATTAATATTCTCATCTAAGGATTTATCTGCGATTTTTATTTTCTAATTTCTTTTTTCCCTTGAATTCCATAATCACCGAGTAAACCAAAAATATGAAGATAAATAAATATATTTTTTCAAACATGACCTTGGTTTCTTCATCCTTATAGTTAAAGGAGATAAACATTTTCTAAAAAGTGAAAAAAGTGAATATTTTTATTCACAATTATGTTAAAAAAGATAAAAAATCTTTTTTTGGGGAAACATTTATCTTTGTGGGAAAAAAAATCACTGAATCGAAGATAAAGACATCCTGAGAAAAGGGGAGGGGGTGGGGGTGGGTTTAGTGATGTTAAAATCACAATTATGTTGTTTAGATAATAATCTACGAGGGAATAGATGTGAATGGACGTCTTCAAGAGAGGAAAAGGTTTAAAGGACGACTTATTATTAAAGAATCCACTAAGATCATCAAGAAAAGGAAGAAAAAATCAGGTATCTTCAATCTTATTCCAGTCTTGAGTTTACTTGTCCAATATTGATTTAAATTGTCTAAAATTGATATTTGTCTAATATTAAAATATGAAATAAAATATTGTTTTAATTGTCTAATATTGATTCTAATTGTGTAATATTTATTCTAATTGTGTAATATTGATTCTAATTGTCTAATATTGATTCTAAATTTAAAATTTAGATATTAATTGTCTAAGATTGATTCTAATTGTGTAAGATTGATTCTAATTGTCTATTATTGATTCTAGTTGTCTAAGATTGATTCTAATTGTCTAAGATTGATTCTAATTGTCTAAGATTGATTCTAATTGTATACTATTGATTCTAATTGTCTAATATTGATTCTAGTTGTCAAATATTGATTCTAATTGTCTAATATTGATTCCAAATTTAAAATGTAGGTACTAATTGTCTAAGATTAATACTAATTGTCTAAGATTGATTATAATTGTCTAATATTGATTCTAATTGTCTAAGATTGATTCTAATTGTCTAAGATTGATTCTAATTGTCGAGTTTATTCTATTGATAATAATTGGTTCTAATTGTTAAACATTTTATATGAATCCTTTGAGACTCTTAAATTTTAAATTTCTTTTCAGTTTTATTTTTAAAGAGGAAGGCAGAAAATATGGGTGGGTGGTGGATACTAATTGTCTAAAATTGATTATAATTGTCTAAGATTGGTTATAATTGTCTAAGATTGAATCTAATTGTTTAATATTGATTATAATTGTCTATTATTGATTCTAATTGTCTAATATTGATTCTAATTGTCTAAGATTGAATCTAATTGTCTAAGATTGATTCTAGTTGTCTAATATTGATTCTAATTGTCAAAGATTGAATCTAATTGTCTAATATTGATTATAATTGTCCAAGATTGAATCTAATTGTCTAAGATTGATTCTAATTGTCTAAGATTGATTATAATTGTCTAAGATTGATTATAATTGTCTAAGATTGATTCTAATTGTCTAAGATTGATTCTAATTGTCGAGTTTATTCTATTGATAATAATTGGTTCTAATTGTTAAACATTTTATATGAATCCTTTGAGACTCTTAAATTTTAAATTTCTTTTCAGTTTTATTTTTAAAGAGGAAGGCAGAAAATATGGGTGGGTGGTGGAGTTTTGATGACTATTGTTTACATGTTCAAAGAAAAAATGAATGATTATCTGAATTTAATGTTTTTTAGTTAAAGCTAAACAATCAAGAAGCACTCCCGAGATCGAAGGTGTGTAAAATTCAATCTGAAATAAAAAAATTTATTAATAAAAGAAGTACAGAGCCCGACTGAAAAAAACAGGACCTGGAAAGGATTTGATTTTATAAACAAATTTCGTTTGATTAACTTAAAATTTTTTTTACGGTTTAGAGAAAGATCTATTTTTTTCTTTTTAAGACTTTAATTTTCAATTTTATTTTGATCATGATTCATAAGACTTCAAATCAAATATTATATGTTATAACGACATCGATATTTTAAGGGAGGGGCGAGGGGGCTAATTTTTTATAGTGAGAGGGAATGTTTATTTTTAATGATAAACTAGGGGGGGGGGGACCTTTTTTCGGGGATATCTATTGATAAAAATCAGAATTAATCTTTGTTTAATCCCCCTTCTTACATTTTTTGGTTTTAACATAATGAGATAATTTATTAATTTTTAATCTCTACTTTTCAATGCAAGTCTCTCTTCTTAATTGAGAATGAGGTTAAGAAATAGGTTAATTAATATATTTAAGATGTTAAAATCGGTGAAGAGCTTCCTGAAAAATATCGAAACATTCTTAATGAACCACCGGTAGTGCCTCAGGTGCAAAAATTTGTAATACATTTATTGTTTTTTTTTCTATGCGTCCCCTTAACATGAAAAAAACATCTGTTTTGCATAATCTAACTTTATGCATTAATGCAAAAACTGAAACAAAATATATCCTGTATTTCATGCATCACTCTGGGCCGTAGTAAATTTGAATTCAAACAGGACCTGTTCAATTTGTACCGGCCTGCCAGATAACATCGTTTACTGACCCGATCCTGTGACCATATTCTGTTTTGTACGTCGCCCTAACCAGACTAACATACGACAGGGGTCAATTTTCTTGGCATAGTCCCGTCCATGTCGCGTCGGAGGGCTAACTATGACAACCCCCATGGCGCGTTCAGACTTTTTACAGTACCTAATCCTAGGCCTATTTGACTGTCCCCACTGGCTTAGTCCACCGTGGCATGTTAGCCATCATGTTTCCGTTCATAAATTAAGGAAGTCAGGGGCGGATACAAGGGGGGTCGGGGGGACATTCGCCCCCCCTGAGATTTCGAGGCAAAAAATGTTCCCAATTTGATAAATGTTATTGTTAACGATAAATTTAGAATTATAAATTTGTAAGTTAAGTTATAATATTGTTCATATCTAGTAATGTTCCTTAATCAATACTCATTTATCAAAATTGTAATATTGTTCCTAATTTTCATGCATTTAAGTATAACTAGTAATTTCTTTTTGTTCTTAAATTGCTAATGTTCCTATTATTGTTCCTGTTCCTGTGTCTGACCCACCTTAAATCCCTGTCCTAATCCTATATTTTTGTTCCTAATTCCTGAACAATCTGTTTATTGTTCCTAAATCCCTGTCCTAATCCTTTATTTTTGTTCCTAATTCCTGAACAATCTTTTTGTTGTTCCTAAATCCCTGTCCGAATCCTTTAATTCTGTTCCTAATTCCTGAACAATCTTTTAATTATTCTTAAATTCCTGTCCTAATCCTTTATTTTTGTTCCTAATTCCTGAACAATCTTTTAATTGTTCCTAAATTCCTGTTCTAATCCTTTAATTTTGTTCCTAAAATTTAAAAATCTAGTTTTTTAGTCTTAAGTCATTAATTTTTACTCTTTTTGAGACTTTTAAGTCAAAAAAATTTTCACGATTGTTTCTTCCTAATTAGTCATTTTTTATTCCTAAAATCTTGCCCCCCCCCCTCACTTAAATCCTGTATCCGCCCCTGAAGGAAGTCCGTAAAAGCCTTGTTTGATTTTCATTCAATTATTAAAATTTTCTATGTTTAAAAATCTCAATTAAGAGCTATATTTGACGAGGCAGTGGGAACTCCTGTGAAACATAAAAAGGCTATGACTTATATGCTTTGAGTTATATTTGGAAACTTTTAAATTCAAGATAAAGTTAAAACTGAAGTAACCCTTTCAGTACGAAATTGATCAAAATAAAGTTTCCTATTAGATTAGGAGTTGGTTTGTGGATAATAATTAAATTGACATGGACCTGGGGTTTACATTTATCAGAGAAAATAAGAGACTATTTGCTATATCCACTCTGCTTTTCTTAGTCCATGAAAACAGTTCTTAAAGGGACTGTAAAGGAAAAATGAAAGGGGGTATAGGCTGAAAGCTAGGAAGGATAACTGAATCCCTCCAGTGGAATTATAAACTACTTGGAAGGATAACTGAATCCCTCCAGTGGAATTATAAACCCCCAGGAAGGACATCTGAACCCCTCCAGGGAAATGTAAATCACCCTGCGTAAAGTTTTGAATTGTAAAAAGCATTTTTTCAACCCCCTCCAGTGAAAAAGAATTCCCTCCGGTGGTCTCCAGTGGAGTCAAAATCTTACTACGAACTTCCGTGACTCATTTTTTTATTTGTTATTTCTATTTTTTATAGATTTAATTCATAATATTATTTATACATCCGTATTGCTTGACCAGAAATTCTACCAATGGCAGTGCAGTAAAGTGGTCACGTGATACAGGAGGAGACAGGTGCTCTGCCATTGGTGATAGTTCTGGTCACGTGATTTAAGTTTAAGATTTTTTAAATTTTGTATATAATTATGTATCAACTTTCGCATAATTTTAACACAGTTTTTATATCAATTTCTCGAGACAGGAACATCAGATAAAACTTTCATGGGTCGCGATCAAGAGCTAAAGTGATTAGCTTTCAGCCTATACCCCCTTTCATTTTTCTTTACAGTCCCTTTAAGAAAATTTTTGGTAAACTAATACTGGCAAAATTTGATATCTCTAGTTCGGGAGAGGAATTATTTTGATTAGGCGAGGAAAAGTAAAATTTTAATAAAATTTTCAGTTTTGGATTTGATAGCTTATTTTTTCTGTCAAACGTCTGAAAATTTTAATTTGTGAAGGAAAAAAATATTGACTAGGCGGGCAGGGTGTGGTGGGCGGGGAAAATATTCACTAGGCGGGCAGGGTGTGGTGGGTAGGGGAAAATGTTATGAAAATAAATTTGTTAATTCTCAAAAAAAAAGCTTAAATTGTTAGATTTCTCTCTTGTTTCAATTTTAGACTTTATTTATATTGATCTGATATTCTAGGTTCAGACAAGCAACGGCTGGAACCCTCTGGATAAATCCCAGAATTTAACCATGAAAACAAACGAACATTTGACTGTCAGGAAAGTTAATCATTTTTCAAAACTTTCCCTTCAGATTTTCAAAAATATTTTTTGCAAGCACAGAACAGAAGTCAGCCGAATAAAAAGAAAAAGAAAAACGATATTATAACTTTTATAATTTTATTTCTACCAAGCTTTTAAGCAGCATGAATACATAAACATGGAAACTAAGAAAAACTGTAAATTAACAGCTTCTCTTTTTTTACTTCTAAACTTGGAATTGGAAAAAAAGTTTGTTGGAAATCCAAACTCGAATAGAAATGTCGTCTTCTTTGTATTTATAATAACGCCGACCAGTGTACTGGAATGTATTTAAACCAAAGAACTTAGTCAATGCATTGTGACGCTGCAAAATGAACTTTCTATGGACATTCTACCCTTAAATGCTAAAAGCTGCCAGACGACTGTTTTTGTACTTATTTAATCTCTGTTCTTACATTCTTGGTTTCCTTCAATCGTAAACTTGCTTTTTTATGATAAATAAGTTAGTGTGTCGTTTAAGGCAGATACCCTAATTAATTATTAAATTTATTTTGAATGATAATAATTAATTAGACGGCAGCCCGTAACACAATCTACTGATGGTATTCGAGGCAAAACTGGAGTTGCTAGGGGCAGATAATAAATAATTTGTGTATTTTAAAGGACTGCAGGCGTAATTTCAACCGATTCTTTGCTCAAGGCATAGTGGATTACCCTTTGAACTTTCAATTGAGACAAAAAAGCGTAAGCTATTCTTGTTTTTTCTATACGAATATATTAAGATAGTAAACAACGATATTTTCCTCATTGCTGCTCATATTAAGATGTTCAGCTGACTGAGTGCCGTTGTGAATTTGAAAATACGTTGGCCTTCCCTTGAACAGAAACTTCAAATATTGATTTAAAATTAGATAATCTTACCTAAATCTCGTCTCTTAATCTTTTTCCATACTTTATTCCGGATTAAGGGTTAAGTAGAATTCTTTAATGTACAGATACAGGGGTCGATAAATTCTTCAAAAATATGTTTTCATTGAAAATATTCTGTCAAGAAAAAAAATAAACTGGAAAATAATATTTTACCCTGGAGATTTAAATTACCCCCGACTCACTTCCCTTCCTTAAGAAAATCATTTTACAATAGATACAACACATTTTCGATTGTTAGAAATGCCATTTTTTTGTGAAAGCTTTACAGTTGAGATCACACGCAAGATTTATAGATGATTGTTATTATTTTATCTTGAGTTTAGAGGCACCACAATTTATGAGATCAGTTGGCCAATAAGGAAGGAAAAACATGTTGATTATTAATTTAGTGAATAATTTAAAATCTTTTTTTTGGCATGGTTGAAACAGCTAAAGCAACTTTATTTAAAATTTTAGTAAATAGGTAGAATGTTGAATGTTGAACCACGCGACTAAGTTAAACCACCTCTCTGAAATCAAAAACGGCTTACAAGCAAGTGGCTCAACTTATTCTATATAGTTCATCTACTTCTCGCTATCATTACATGTCAGTCCCTGAATATTTTGAAAAAAAAACTTGAAATTACTAAATTGTTTTGTTTCCTCTCCTGCAGGATGCGCGGTACACATGCTGCAGTGGGTGTGGCCACCAGAACCGCCCCAATCCATGTTCATGGGTACAAGTCCCTCATAGGTAATTTAATGATAAGGGTTGGTAAGTCAGGGGGTTGGGATATCATGTCAACCTGTATGTCAGAGTACTCTTAGAAGCGCCGAGCCAGAGCCAGTTGTTGAGAGATATTTAATAATTTTGAATTTTCAATGATTTTCATATTTTTCAAATTTTCAAAATAATATTTTTTTATTGCAGAAGTAATAATAGGTTAAGTGTTAATTTCATGCTCTATTTGATGTTTTAACCAATTTGTATAATAAGAATCTTTTTATTTAAACGATATAAACCAAGCAATGAAATAGAAGTTAGAAGAATAATTATTTTACAACCAAATTAACAAGATTTTGTACTGAAATATATGCTAATTATTTTTTTAGATAACCAAAGGTCTAGAAGTTTTTTCCATCAAAACGGAAATATATTTTTGCTCCCTAGTACCCCCACCAACTTGCACTTTACATTTAAGAATTACAAACCAGTCTAGTGTAAATCAAAATATTAGTTCAGAAACATATTTTCTTGCTATAAAACTACCAGAGTTGCGTTTCAAAATCTGCTAAATTTCAAAATTTTATTGAAAATACTTTACGCCATTTTAACGTCTTCAGTACTCAAATTACATCAAAGAAGTATAAAAATGAATTTCTTGACTGATTTGAGTATTCTAGAAACATCTTTTTCTTTTCAATCTGTTGCTTGGAACTTGAGATATAACTGTTAGCACAGCAAATTTTTGAGAAAAATATGATTTCCCTTATTCATATTGCAGGGGACAATGGTAGTTCCTGGGGTTGGGATATTGGTAGCAAAGAGAGTATTCACAACGGGGAGAAAACAAACTACCCTCCAACAGGTAATAAATACGATCATTCTGAATGTCGTCTTTCGGATGAAATTAATAAACTTTAATCTAGGATAGATTCTGTTTTGCATGGTAATAACTACAAATAGGTTTCACATGCACAGCTAACAGTTTTTACTCTAGCATAAATCAGTTTTGGCTTAATTCATCAAAACTAGATTTTTCTTGCCTTTGCTGTATAAATCCACGGATTGCTTTAGGAAAGCCGCGGGCACGTTGGAACAAAGAATATGTCAACTAAAATAAATTACCAATGTGCATCTAGATTTAATTTCTGAGGAATAGATCACTTATATAATATGTGCGCAGTAGCGTACACAGGGGGGGGGGGCAGTAGTCCTCCTGCCCCCCCCCCCTGGGATTTATGAGCAAAGGTAAAAATCAGGTGTTCTTGGTAAAAAAAGAGCTTGCCCTCATCAGCAAAAGGGTGATAAACAACTATAGATAGCTATATGCATAATGCACAGACGCATACACAGGGGGGGGGGTGGCAGTAGTCCTCGTGCCCCCCCTGGGATTTATGAGCAAGGGTAAAAATCAGGTGTTCTGGGTAATAAAAAAAACCTGCCCCCATCAACAAAAGGGGTGTTTTCCCCCTTAAAAAGAATAGTTGAAAATTTTCTTGGTGCTTTACGCCATTTATTTTCAAATTTTACCGTAGTATTTCCCTTTCATCTAAAATCTCCACCCCCCCCCCCCCTGCATACTTGATAAACAACTATAGCTATATGCATTATGCAAGCGTTTGGCATGTTTTCCCGAAAATACTGAAGGATACATTTAAATATATAGTCCGTGGACTACAAAGGTAAGTAGTCTCAGGAATTGAGAGAACTATACAGAGGGATACATTTAATATATATAGTCCTTGAATCGGGAATACAGAGGACTACAAAGGGGAGTAGTCTCATTTTAGCAATAAACTTTATCTTATCTTATCTTATCTTACTTAGGACTTCAGAGGGCAATACAGAACTATGCAAATGGATACATCGTAATATGTAGTCCATTGGGACAACAGTGGACTATAAAGGGGAATAGTTTTAAAATTCGGTGATGGTGATGGACCAAACCTCTGTTAGAGTAAAAAAGTAGATGTTAGTTCCACATTTATTGAAAATAAACTTCGGTCTGGGTTGACCCTCGTCAGTTCTTGAGATTGTTTCTTCACAAAAATAGTCTCAGGAAACTACTCAGGACTTCAGAGGGTAATACATATACAGATAGATACATTATAATATGTAGTCCTTCGCGTGAAAGCTTGCCCCCCCCCCTGCCTTAATTCCTGTGTACGCGCCTGTATGTGCGACATATAGCTTATATTCCTTATATTCATATTAATTCCGTTTTTATTAGATCTATAATAACTGTTAGTCTCTTGTAGCTTTTGATAATTTTGAACTTATTTAAGATTCTAATATCTATAAACTAAATTGTTATACGTGTTTTTAGTTCGCAATCATTACGAATGGACGGTACCCGCGGTCTTCTACATGATTATTGATATGGACGAGGGTAAGGAAGACGACATATTTAAATTTAGGAAGACGACAATTTTGTTAACTTGACTTCTATAACAAAGAGGCGTCGGGTGAAGGGAGCAGGAGGGGGGGATAGATAAAACTCCTAAGAATGCGCGAATACCGGATAATATTTTCTTAATTCTCTCTCTCTACGACAGCTTGCTCTGACAGCTTGCTTCTATAGTAATGTTAAGGATGAATACGAATGTTATAAATTTGATATTTTTGATACGAATGTTGGGTTTGATTGTTTATCTGATCTTGGTACTTGGATTCGAATGTCATGACAGGCTTGATACGAATGTTGAAAAGGATGGATACGAATGTTATTAATTTGATATAGGTTGGGTTTGATTGTTTATCTGATCTTGATACTT